GGCCCGGTTACGCGGGTGGCGAGGCCGGCCTCGTCAGGGCGCGTTTCCCCCAAGATCGGCCAGCTCCGAAGCAGCCGCGCCCTTCAGAGGAGCCGGCCTGGAGGGAGGCTCCACACCGCAAAGGGCGCCGCGCTGAGTGGCCTTTCTCCTTACAGCAGCTCCCTCCCCCCCCGCCCCGCCGCGTGGGCGTTGTGGAAAACCTGCCAGCGAAAGCGGCTCATTGAGGCGCAGGGCGTACAAAGCTCGCTGCCCCTTCCCCGTGCCGACTAGACCCTGACCGCGCCGCCTCGGCCCGGCGTAACGCTCCTCAGGGCCTTGTCAGCCGACCCTTGCCGAAATTGGCAGGAACAAACCTCACTTAAAACGCAGGCTGTCTAAGAGCAGCTGTTGCCTTGTGGTGGGGGTAACTATCAATTTGCCAATTCCATGCATTTAAAAAAAAAAAGCTATCATACATCACAGAACCTCTTGAACAAAGGGAAAAAGCTTCTGAGGTTTCCCTGTACTGTGATTAATGGCCACAGTTATGTTCCGGAGATGAAAATGAGTAGAAATGCCAGAAGTATTGAAAAATACATCAACCCAAGGTCTAGAACTTCTAGAACTTGCTAATTCTGTTATTTATATATGCTGAAAGCACTGTTTCGCCTAGGCAAGTGGTCTGAAATATGATCTCTGAGTAGGCATCAAACACAGTTAAAAATAAAGCTGCATAGCATCGAAAAACTATACATTATTTGCCTCTAGATTTATGATGTTACATTTGGCCCTTCTTGAAACACGAATTGTTGGCCCAAGCACATCTTACCAGGCAATTCCAACCCTTGTGTTAGAGAGAGTCCTTCTCATTTTTACCATTTCTCCAGGCTCCATAAGATTTACAGACTATCAGTAAGGATTTTGTCCTTAAAAAAAAAATCTCCAAGTCCAAAAATTTACCCCTGAAGCCCACTAGATATATGGCCGTTCAGCCATAACTCCCCCTACATCATTTTATCTTGAGATCAATCATATAACCCTTTAATCTACTGAATATATGACTTTAAGTTATAAATTGAGCTGTCTGTCACACAACAGAAGGTCAAATATCTATCCTAGCACTACTCTTACCTCTATGATACAAAGTTATAATCACATTGAAAATGATTGTTAGTTTGACCAATTTATTTTTCATATACTGATGGGCATTGTCACTGTATTACCTTCCTGTATTAGGTGTTCTGTTGCATACTATGTGTAGGCCAACACCAACTGCCAGTCTCATATCACTTTTAATAATGACACAACAGTTTTCTTCTAGCCTGCAGGAAATTCTCCAGTGCTCCAAGACGTATCAAAAATTAGCTTATCAGTCAGAACAGATGTTCAGCTTACTCCTGGATTCAAGCAGTTAGACATGCTGCTAATAAACATGCCTAACTTTAGTAGCTACAGCTTCCCATTAGCCTTATTAGACTGTGCTCCCTATTTTTCATTAAAGTGTTATTGTAACTAATATTCTTACAATGTATCCAAGGTAAATCTTAGGTATCCTAAGATTCAAGAACAGCCTCATCAGCCATGTCTAGTGTAGTTTCATGTTACAAATCATCCCTGGGAGACACCTACTATGTCAGCTTGTCCAGGCAATATAGCTGACGTCTAACCTCAAAAAGAATAGCTCACAGCTGTACCCTAGTTGTATCCACATCCCTTTCAGGACGTTCTTCAAAATCCTTCATCGCGTAGAACTCCTAGCGTAAATCATTTTCTTTGACAGTTTACAAGTCTCTCCACTGATATTCCTGATTTTCTTGTTCAGTGGAACTGCCACCCTCAATAATGTTTTAAACCACCCTTTGTTCCAATGTTTTAGTTTGGTTTTCAGAGACACATTCCTTATTTTCACATTGAAATCTTGGTAATAATAATGCTGGTTAAAAGTTTAGATGTGCCCTTTTCTTTCTGCTGTGCACAGCCTACCTGTTTGTGTATACTTACAGAATACCCCAGGGTACTGTCATCTATGTGAGGACACACTACAAGTCCTACTTTTTTTTAAATAACAGATTTGTCTTCCATGGTGGCCAGTTCTTCCCTTTCTTGAATCTTGAGTTACAAAGGTTCCCAAGGCAAGCTGGGAGTGTCTTCATCAGGGAGACGGCTCTGTGGACCAGCTGGGGGCTCTGGGTGATCCCAAGATGGCAGAGCAGTGACCTCTCTGACCAGGGCGCCGTGCCAGGGCACCGAGCATGGCGATGCAGTAACTGGTTCTGCTGTCCCTCTGGTGACCGCTAGGCAAGTGCAAGGTCAGACCTCAGGTCAGTGCAGGACAGCCAGTCTAAGGGCCTCCGTGGAGCTTAGATGCAGCTGGGCCTGGGCTGGGCTGCGCAAGTGGAGGCTGCGTCCTTCAGCTTACCTGGTATTTCTCTCTGTCCTTACAATCCTTTCTGCCATGCTATTTCTGTCAACAGCAACTTGCAAGCCACCTGCACTTCACGCACATGATTCTGCTACCCATTAGAATAAGAAAAGCATGGCTCAGTCATTCCAGATCCAAACTGCTGCCCGCCACAGGCTCATTGTAGTATCTCGAGCCGAATTATACCTAAAAGGAAAGGTACAGTCATCCAGCTTGTGTTTACATTGAATTGCTAGACTTCTAGCATAGTCTAAGTAGGAGAAAGAGGGGCTTTTCCTGAGGGCAAGCCCCACCTACTGTCTTTTATTCAGATAACATTATCATGCATTTGAGTATTTTTATATTATGCATAGGTACTGGAAAAGATCATTAGCACTCTGAGGAACAAAATAAGCAAGTGAAATTGGTCTTTTTTATTCAAAATTATTTTTATTTGGATGTATTTAGCAGAAGGTTTGTTTTCCTCCTTTTTCTTTTTCCATTTTTGCCATTCTTTCAGTACAATATATTAAAATTTTGCACCTCCTTAGCACTTTCCAGTTAAGGCTCTCAAAGTGTTTACAGACATGAGCTAATTAATCTCACAACAATCATTAGCAATAAGGAAGTAAAATGATTTGCAGCTGCAGAGATACATTAAGATTAGTATTTTTCAAGTTTTTCTCTGATTTTCAGTGGTCACCTTTTAATATGCTGGGTTTGATGCTCATAAGTGTCTCTCCAAGTTTGGAGTGTTTCAGGTTTTTAGAGAAAGCCTGAGGTTGAACGCTCCAAAGGAGCGTCAAAATCCAAAGGTATTTATGGCAATCTTCACTTTGTAACTTATTGAAGGACACACAATAAATGAGCAAGAGAATCCAGAACTGGGAACAAGGCATAACTTACACGTATGTGCTGTATTAAGAGACATAATTTCCTCTTTGTAACTTAACTTTGAGTTTAAAATCATAACCTATTCCCTTCTCCTTATATATTATATTCTGCTGACCATCTCCAGCAGACTTTAACCTCAGGTACTTAAATTCTGTATTTTACTAGTAAGCTTTACAGAGGGTCTCCCCAGTCATGAGCTGTATACAGTACACAATGCCTTTAGGTGACTCTAGCGATGCTTATGTTAGCCCAGCCTTAATAACAAAAAAATCCCTAAGCAACAGGTGTGGATTTCATCTCTGAATATTTAAAATAGGTTTCAGAGTTTAGGGAAAAAGCTAACATGTGATTATCTTAAAGAACCCCTCCATGCCCAAACATGATTCAAATGAAAGATTAAATATTAACTTGACATTGACAGTGCCATCCTGTCAGCAGTGCATCTGCATAGAGATTCTTCATAAAACCCTGCAAATTCACAATTACCTCTTGCAAACAGAAGTACTACGATCTGTTCAAGAAAAAAAAAAATTTAAATATCCATTCAATCCACATAAATGTTGTCTTCAAATTAGCTTCTTCAGAAGATACTGACATAAAAACATACAGATACAACTATTTTCTAGTTATGTTAACACTGAAAATTCCAACAATAAGACAAACGTAATGCAAGTATTTTAACAGAAAGTGAATAGAAAATTTCACTTGCTTAAAAAAAAATCTAAAAGAGAAATCTTTGTTATTTCAGTGAAGTGCTAGAGTCTACATTTAAAATGATGCATTTACAGAACTTTTTAGATGAATTAGACTTCTTCTTTAACGCTAAATACTGAAATTGACAGTTGTGTGCAAGTATTAACAATTATTAACATTTTAAATGTTAACAATACAATTTTAAATAGCCTTGCAAGTGCAATGTTATAAATATATATAAAAAAAGAGCTGCAGTTTTATATAAATTATATGAGTACATGAAAGTGCTTTTCAAGTATTTATGTTCATTTACAATTGTATTCTCTTGTATAAGCCAGTGCTCAGATGGTACAATTTAAGTATCAATCAATTTTTTTTTTATTTTAGATGCATGCATTTAACTGGATGGAATAAGTGATTTCATTTCCAGAATTTTTTATGATAAATATTTAAATATTAAATACTGTAAAATGTGTATATTTTACTTTTTGTTTTGTATTAAAAATACAATAAAAAAGTAAGATAGAGATTACATCTGGAAGGGCATGCGCTAAGAGCCCTTGAGCCATACAGTAACTGCAAATTCCATCAGCATTTCAAATTATGATGGTTCTTCTTCAGCAGAGACAGAAGCATGCAATCATAATAAAGGCCCAATACTGTCAACTTGTTAAGAAATTAAAGATTTTTATAATCTGTGTCAAAAGCCACTGAACCTAAAGAAGCCTCCAAAAATTTCAGTTAGTCAGCCCTTAGCCAAAGTTACATGGGAGAACGGAGCTAGTGCATATCACCATTGTACTGTCTACCCAGAGCATAGTGTAGCTATCTTTCTGGCTAGTCATGAACCATTATTATTGCAGTGATACAAAAAAAAAAATTGTATTCCTGTTTCTCAGCCAGAGGAGGGATGAGATAAGTAGGGAGGATACTTGTTTATTAGACAAGAAAACCAAACCAAAACAATCCTAAATGAATCAATATATATTTAAAAGTGCACTGAAAAAGATTTCCTATTGAACTCCATCTCTCAGAAGTCCCAGATTTTCATCTTAAATTATATCTACTTTGAACACTGAACACCTGTAACCTGATATTACAGCATTTAGTTTTTCTTGCAGTTTGAAAAGCACATGATGCAAGGCAGCATTAACATCTCTCATTAAAGATCTGGCAATGCCACAGTTTTATCATGAAGATGCAGCTCAGAAATGACACAGTTCAGGAGAAGACCCTGCAGGACTGTCATTACAAGGTTACTCCAACAAAGTGCTTTGTTATTTGCCAAAGAAAAAAGTCAAACTGTTGCCCTACCTCACCATAGTGCTGCACTGGCAATTTATAATTTTCTTTCCAGATGCAATTGGGCTTTAATAAATTATAGCTCTTCAGAAATAGGCAATTATTTTTAATAAAAGCAGTTTTGCGCTCTGTCAGAGATGCCCATTGTTTAGACTGGTCTCTTCATGCAGACCTGACAACGGCTGATGATGTTTTCTAATTCTCCTGCTTTCAAAGTCTGTGGCAAAGGTTTCCTAAAAGAAAGGGAAAACAAACATTCGCCTTTTTCCTAAAAACAGGGAGAAGTGCTGAAAGTTTTCGTACTACTGGATTTTTCTGCCCTTTTCTCTATTCCTCCCCTGACCCCACCTCCCCCATCTCTTTTGCTCAGGGGGTTCCTTGTCCTGAACACGAATTTTGAATCACACTAGGAATAAAAAGGCATTACTGTACATAACTGAACTCAAGTACATTCAGACACTTAAACGGGGTTGGCTGCAGGCACTTGGGATCTTCATGTTCTTAAAAATGTATTTTTCCTCTTCTTAATATGGAGGGGAACAGCAATGGAAAGTCTGTAGTGGTCCAGATGAGCTCAGTTAACTGCCTTGAGGAAAGAACTGAGTATCAGCAGATACCAATACTCATGCTGAGAATTATATCTTCAGAACACAGGGATATATTGAGCTCTGTGCATACCCATGAGGAATAGACTTGAATTTGTATAGATATTGTAGAAGTACTTTTTGCAAATTTACACCCAACCCACCTCAGATTATGGCTCCAGGATTACATGAAACCAAATTTTCTGCATTACAGAAATCATCCAGCTTTGCTGTTCCATACCAAACTTACATACAGGGGCCCAGTTATGTGCTAATGTATATTAGAAATCATGCTGAAATTGTTAGGGTTTCAGAAGGTGGAAATTAGTGCAGGATCAAAGCCATGACACACTGATTTGCTTGGCTAATCTGATTTTTAGACATAATGTGTTGGATTTATCTCTCCAAATGTAGACATCTATGTATGAGGTAGCTGCCCGGACTCTTTTACAGCCAATGGACATAAATTGGGGTAGAATTCATCTCTTCCCAGCCAAGGTGTTTAAAATGCGTCAGAATACATTGCACCTGAAAAGCACCTGATTCTCTCCCTTCGGTTGAGTTCTGCTGTAGAGGTGAAGTTAGGCAAAAGAGTTAACCTTACATTATGACTCCTCTCCAGATTCTGCGACAAACTCACTATTGTAAAATTTAAGACAAATTACTGAAGACAATGGCATTATACTTGCTTATATCAGAAAACACACTGCATTTAAAAGGTTGTTTGGAGATGGAATTATAGACATTGGAATTCAAATCCTTGATCTGCTAAGGCCTCTTTGAGCTGTTCCAGCACCCTCCTAGCCAGGGGAGATCTCTATTCTGAGGGGAATTACTAGGGAAGCCCTTGGATGTTAGGCAGGCAGTTCCTCAGCCACCTGCAGCATGGATGTGACAGGTAAGATGCAAGAAACGGGGAAGAGTTGGGCTGCTGGGAAAGTACATTTTACCTGAACATTCTTCTTGGATTTAGTGATGCCAACCAGAAGCTGTAGGAATTTGTGTAGTAGTTGCACGTCCCCCTGCCATGGCACTCTATAAATGGGATGGCTCGAAATTCTTCTAAGCAAGACCCAGGCGATGCCAATGCTTGGCCAGAAGCTTCTGAGCCAGCACTTGTATACTGTAAATTTTTAATAAGAACTTGTCCATCAGCTTTTAGTAAACTGCAGGCAAAAAAAAATCTCGAAAACATACCATAGGTGGTGTGATACATCTCAGACAAAGAATCAGCACAGATTAAGTTTTATCAGACTCCTAATAAAGCACAGCAGCGTTATGAAAATGCAAGCACAGTTATGGTTATTTCTTAAGCCCCTCCAAAGGACTTTTACTGCTCTGTGAAATGGCATGAAAACCATACCTAGTACAAAGACTAGAAAGTAGTTGGCATCTGTCCAGTTGAAAACCTAATTACAAATAAGCCAAATCTCCTGTTCTGTCTCTGTTCATATTTTTTGTTGCATTGATTGCTTCTCCAAACACAAAAAGCAAAGAATCATTTTCCTTCTCTGATTTTGGTAAATGTTGGTAGAAATGCTCCTGAAATAACTTACAGTAGCAGAAAACTCGCTAGAAACTACAATTAAAATTGGTGATGTTTGAAATAAGCAAATGATTTTAACCAGCTGCTGCAAAAACGTTTCTCTCTTTTTTTTTTCCTCCAATATATTTACTACTACTTCAGGGCAAATTCCGGGAGATAAAACAAATTTCACACTAGACCTAAAAAGACTTCATATCATGCAAATAGGAATGTGGGCTTGCAAAAGGGGTTTTTTATTCTGTCATTTACCCTCACTTGCTGGCACTCCTATGGCATCTCACAAGCGGGGGTAACAAAGATGAAGTGTTACGTCCCCCAGTATGGATGCATCCTTATTCCCATACTCAGTTCTCCTCACCTTGGGAGTATACTATGAACTTTCTCCGATCACACTTCTTAATGGCATCAAAATTGCTGAAGCCCTTCTTTGTAGATAACAGACTACTTTTGTTTGATTTGAACCTTCCGTGGAGTTTGGCCCCAAGATCTGGTTTATAAAAGAACTGCCTGGCTGGAAGGGGTGGTTTATCCTCAGGTACTTCTGCATATCTGTGTTCACGACTGCTCTAGCTACCCCATTTCCCAAACCTATGTTTCCTAGAGTTTTGCATGATGCATGAGAATGAGACAGGGCAGCTACTTTTGTCAGACTAAAATTCTACAGTTTTCTTTTCATCATTTCCCCCTTTCCTCCTGTCACCTATTATTGAGGGCATATCACAATAGTTGTTCCTATGCTTCTATCATTAAATAAGAGTTAATTTTTTTTTAATTATTAAAAAAAAAACAAATCAGCTAAGAGCAGGTGAAAATGTCAATGAAAGTGAGAGGAGATAATACCCTTACCATAACAAAAGAAAAACCCTTCCAGAGAGACATCCATCCTTCTGGACATGCAGGAACTACAGTTGTTTGGCTGTGAACTGCAATTACCATCGCAGCTCCTTCACAGACAATGCACCTGTAAGAAGAAACACAGATGCATTTGGTGCAGAGATGAAGGAAAATACATAAGTGAACCCCCACCCCCACCTGCTTGAATAATAACTAGCTAATTGCAAGGCTTAGTATAAATGTTATAACTTGCACACAACATTTTCTCTTTTTAATGAGAAGTAAATTGAAGGTAACCCAAATACCTGCTTTGCTATCTCTACCAATAACACTACACAAAAACTGGTAAAAAAAAAAAAAAGGAGGTTAGTTCCAGGACATTTGAGATTCCTAATTTTGCCTTTAGTAAAGTAATGAGCTAAATTTTACCTTATTCATGTGCTCACTACTTTATGTTACTATGGTTTAGATCAACATTTGTTACCTGTACCTTCATTTGCTCAGATTAAAAAAAAAAAAAAAAAGTTATCTTTACTTCCTAAAGGAAGGAACTAGGAAGATGAACTACTAGTTTGCAACAACTGGGCAGTGCAGGCTGGAAGACAGAGTGCAAAGCTTGCCTTCCCATCTTTCAGTTTGCTACTCTTGGTCTTTTATGCTTTTTTAAGCTCTCCTCCTTTATGAGACCTTCATTCTTAGCTTTCCTAAAGCAGCACAGGCTAGAAAGGACCACATTTACACAATGGTGATTCATAGGAGAGATCATAGGAGAGATCCTTCAGCCACAGTGTCTAAAGTTCTTCACTGACTACAGTCATTATATTAAACATAATTTGAAGTAGAGCTTGCTTTGTACCACATTCCAATACTGTGTCCTTATTTTAGTTTAGCCTGCTCCTAAAATACATGACAATTGCTTCTAAAGATATGTAAAACAGGGAGATTGTATGTTATTTTCTCATGTCAGCTATGCAGATTAAATGTGCTGCGGGACTCTAGCTTTAATCTAACTTTTCTTAGGATATCACTGAATATCTGAAATATTTGGGTGAGTAATTAAAAATCAGGTGGCTGAAAACAATGTTGTACCGGCTGAGATAGGCAGAACTTGCTCTGAGATTTGCCGTTCAAAATAAATTATGTTGCCTGTGTGACTCCAGGCCAGAAGAGCCAAGATTCTTGTACTCTTACCTGCTTATATAGGGTTCCAGGGCTCTGCCAGAAATCGGTGCCATGTCTACTGGCATAGCTGCTGCAGTCGACAGCCAGTATGAATAATCATTGCGAGAAGCAAAACTACAAACACTATTGGCATTACAGAATAAGAATGGCATGGTGGTAAATCGCTGCAAGCAGCTACCAGCTGTTCCTAAAAAATGAAAGAGGAAAGTTCAAGACAAATAGCAGTTATATTTAGCGCATCAAACAGAAGAGACACATGACAGGATCCAATCTACTATGGTGAGAATTTAAAAAGTTCGTACCTATAAAAAAAAAAGAGAAGAAAAGTGTCTGTGCAGTGGAGCTATACAAAAGCAAAATGCTTATGGTAAATATAAAATATTTATATACGTACACACACACCCCCCCCAAATAAGAGCTAAGAACAAAATCTGTGTTAAAAAACAATAATATCTTGCTGAATTATATCAGTCTTTGACACAGCAGCAGGGATACAGTTACCTGCTTCAGATATACAGATATGCAAGCTTCTGGTGCCACTTTAGATGCCCTATAGTATCCCCTTTGGCTTCCAGGAAAGCAGAGTTCTCTCATAGACCCTATATCGTTACTGCCAGCCCTGAGCAGATGTCCTAGCCATTATCTGGCACACATCTACGCGTAAGTAACTGAACCTCTCCTGAAAAACATCTAGGGATAGCAAAAAGAGTATAGGAGTGCAAGAGAGAAACCGGTCTCTCAAACTATGATTCCTGAATTTTCTCAGAGCAGTGAGACTGTAAGCAGTGAGACTCTTGAGACTGATGGTTGTAACTAATGTTCATTTCAGGTATTTACTGTGGGTTTGGTTTCATGAAGGCAGCCTAGCATTACTACGCTCCACAGAAAGTGGTCTGAAATTCTTACTAATACAGTACCAAGGTCTTGTCCATGTGCTCGTTCATTTCCTTGTACAAAAAGCAACGAATAGCCAACGTAGATCTGCGATGTCCCACGGGGGCATGCAGGAATCTTGGCTGTTTGGCTATGCCGGGTAAAGATAAAACCTCTTCTTGTTGGACCAGGGGTGATAACACCTGGTGATCCAGGTAACCCCTGTAGACCTGGAAAGCCAATCAGACCAGGTGGTCCTGTGGAGTGAAAAAAAATAGGATTACAAATACAATCATTTTGTTTGCATTCTTACTTTACTTAAATTAGTGGAGCCACTTGAAAAAAATACCCCAAATTAATCAATACGAAGATCAAACTTGAAAATTGGTAGTATTTCTTGCTAGATATATTAGCTCTTTCAGACCAAGATCAGGAAATTTTACATTGCATGGTTTTGTGAAATAGTGAGAAATTTTAAAGAATCATGATCCTCTTTATGGGAGAGTTGTAGTGTAAAAACATTTTATAGTGACTAAGTACATATTTATTATATATTTATATGTTATATTTAATATATATATATATACACACACACAAATATATATATACATATATTTGAATAAATATACTAATATTGATTCAGTTCCATTTGCTCTCGTGTAAAGGAACACTGATACCTAGGGATTTAAATGGATTTTCAAATGGGTAAGTAAACGTGCTTAATAGAGAAGCGCAGCCAAGGCATATTTTTGAATAAAATTTGTAAATTACTATTTCAGTAGTGAACATGCATCTGCTGAAAGCTAAGCATGTGCTCACATGTGCTTGTGGCTATGAGCTACTGCTGATGTTACAGCACCTCAATATATGCAAAAGGAAGGATTTACAGAAATTGGGAACACAATTTATCTGCAAATTCAGTAGCACAAGTTAGAGATGTCTTTTTTGTTGTACCTCTTTGTCCTGGAAATCCCCTGTCTCCTTTTGGACCAGGCAATCCTGGTTGACCCGGACTCCCAAAACTTCCTGGTAGACCTTTTACTCCATTAGGTCCTAAATTATGATCAGGAAAAAACAAAGTAATATAGCAGTAATTATTCCAGATTCTAATAACAGTTTATGAATAAAGTTAAAAATCCCCACCTGAACGTAGCTGCATTTTAATCAGTATCAGTATCAATTTGCTAAGCTTTGAGACTTGGCATCTATAGTGTTAGTGTCACCACGTTTCATATCAGGATGATGACAAGGAACTATGGAATGAACTGCAGAAAAATATTCTCATAAAGAATGGTTGCAAAAAATCAAAGGAAATAGCTTTCTCCTTTAGCATTTGTTGTACAACAGAAATATTGCAAAAATATAATAACAAGCCATAATAATCTCAGTCACTGTTCACAATTCCATAAATAATGCAGCTCCTTTGTAAAACAACTATAAAAAAAGCGTAGAAGAAGAATTCTGTATTGCCCTCTCTGTTACCCCTGAGGGAGCTCTATCTTTCCTGAGGGAGCTCTATCTTTCCTGAGGGACGCATGCCTTCCAGCAGGCCTGGCTCCCTGATGAGCTCCCTCCTGCTGTGAAGAGGGTGTGAGAGAGTGGCTGAGCACCTGCTTGCTGTACATCCACCTCCTCCTACCTGCTCCTTGCTCCCAGATTCCTCACAGTGCTGGTAGGCTTCATTTCTAGTGCCACTCGAGGAGTAGATAGCCTCTCCTTCCCTTCCACCTCCCCAAACAACCAGAGGGATAATCTATTTGCGACATATGTACAGTACTTTTATTACCTGTGGTATTTTTCCCCCCCCCAAGATGACAAACATACTGAGCATGATCCTGCTCATATGAAAACAGTGACCATTTTGTCTAAACTTTATGTTCTATTCCATTATTTTGCCTAGCCTTAGTCGAGGGAACTACTTATTCACTTGCAGACTGTGGGGGTGGTGGACAGATGGAATGAGACAGATTCTGAATAAGAGGCAGTTAACATGGCACCAAGAGCTATTTTCAAATAGAGAGGAATTTTTTAAAGACATGTTGATTTTCTGTGTAGAAGTATGTTTACCTGGCAAACCAAAATGTTTCATTAAGTGACACAGACAAACATGTACAGGGATTAAAACAAAAAAAAAAAGAAAAAACAAAAAAATCCCAACAACCCACCTTGTAGTCCAGGAATCCCTTGAGTTCCTTGATCACCTGGTGTTCCTGGTCTTCCAGGTAGTCCAGGAGGCCCCTTGTTTCCTGGGACAGAGAATACTCTCCCAGGGACTCCAGGTAGACCTAGCAGCAAAAATATAATGAAGAGTTGTTTGTTGCATATTAAAAAGGAAAAAAAAAAATCACGCAAATCAAAGAAACAACCCACACAACCAAACTAAGTCAGCTTGTATTATAATAAGAAGGGTTGTAATAACATGTTACCCTGTTGGCCTTTTGGTCCCCTTGGCCCTTCTGTACCCCGTGGTCCAGGAGGTCCTTGACTACCCTTTTCTCCTAGAAAAGGAGATTGGAGACATATCTGGTTTGAAGTGTTGAAATAACCGCAGAGGTTCAGAGGCTTACTTAAGAATCCTACATGATCCATGCAGCCTTCCCAAAGACTGACACAGTCAGCAGACTCATCTGAAATATCAGAGTGGAGCTCTAAATCTTGTCTGTTAATTCTATTATTTATAGGTCAAATACAGTCAGTTTACAAGATGTTTCCGCGCCTGTCCCCATATAATAGCCTGTTCCATAAGCTTAGCTTAAATTCTTAACTTTAAACTATGTCCTTTCTGTCTTAAGCTTTTTTTTTTATTGAGCTTGCAGGACAAGCGCTGCCTTCAGTGATCCTGTGCACTTTCACTCCATTCAAACCCAAATGTCGGTTATGCTCATGGCTTTTAGGAGGGTCGTAAAGTTTTTCAAATATTTGAAGCTTAACAAATAATTCTTTCAAAGTTCAGATTATGAAGTTGTATCCAGATTATTCTTCCACAGCTCTGCTGGTAATTAAAAAATAGTTTTGTCATCAAGTCAGGAGACTTGACTACTATGCCATGGAACGATGGCTTTTGCTTAAGAAAGTATAATTACTGCCTACGTAATGACTTTTAAAATTAGAACCACAAATTTAAATTACATAATAATTAACATGGAACACAAACCAATAGGCTAAGCAACTAAAGACAATTTTATGTCATTGTAAATTTTGTAATTGAAAATGAAAATATTTGCGTGATGCAGATCCGTATCAAATTTAAATCACTGACCAGAAAAATGTCTAAATTAGAAGGATTTTTAGCCAGATGCTGATCTAGCTAACCCCTCAGGAATACAAAGTTAATGAAAGCAATGAATTTAACAGTTAATCTGCTGATAAACTATTGAATTAGATCATTAACTGGGCCTATTATGATGGCAAACAGAAGACCCAGGGCTTTGTATTGCGATTACGATCAATGCTGTTGAGTTCTGTAGCTAAGGGGTTGCCAAAAAACACATCTTCTAGTGCGGCATTTTGCAATAGTAGATCCAGTCCAAAGTCCTTACACAGCATTAGCCACTGGTAAGCCCTAGGGTCACACTTGTTTTGAAGTTGCCTTTAATGGGGGCCATTAAAGTTTCAGCCCGTCCTCACTTTAACATTAGTTTAGACATACCCATAACATTGAACTCAAAGAAAACAACGGCTGATCAAACGTGCTCCCTTAGTGAAGGGATCTCATTTATACCTGGCTTATATCCTGCTCTCTTTATAGAAAAGACTTATGTCTGTAGGACCCTGCCTGGCACTAGTACAATAACACAACACGTAAATAACTGTATTTGGCATACAAAGGTGTATAAATACAGTAATACCTTTTACCCCTGGGAATCCAATGAATCCACGATCCCCTCTAGCACCAGAAAAACCTGATGGACCTTCCATTCCCTGCAAATCAGATAACATCAATAAACAAATAGGAAGCAGCATTTCCACACTATGAAGTTTATTTTCTTTTTCTTCAGAATATTCAAAGCATTATGTCCACAGAACATGCTTTGACTAGAAGCATTATATGCTATGTTTGTGACAATGGTAGAAATAGCCAAACCATTGTTAATATTATTCTGTAACACAAAATTGACAAGGAGATAACAACTCAGAATTTCACAATACAATGCCTTTTTGGTCCATAAAAGCCCACAAAAACTATTTTTCATATCCAGTTTAATATCATTCCTCTATTACAAGATAGTCTTTTTTTTTTCCCCAGGTGTATTTTTTATGGTAAGAGAAAATTATCAATAAGTTAGAAACAAGGAGTATTCCTTTCCACTGACTTTTGGACCTGGAGGACCAACGTTGCCTTTTGGACCTGTTGGCCCTGGTATGCCATCTGCCCCTCTAACACCTTTGCTTCCTTTCATGCTGGGAGTGGGAAGACCAGGAGGCCCTGGAAAACCAGGAGTACCTGTACGGAAACACCGAAATAAGTAAGGACTACTGCCAATGGCATTTCACAAACGTTGCATACAATGTAGTACAACATTCAATGACTCTGTTACAGTACTTGATGTTTACTGTCTCTCAGTGATTCTCAAGGAAATATACTGATTGAAAAAAAAAATTGTTTTGACTCCTTTTTCCCTAGCCTGTTAATTTAACCTGAGATCAGAGCCGAGTTCTTTCAATCCTCTAAAACTCTACAGTCTTTAAGTGTCCTTCAGTTCTAGTTACACCTCTAACAACACTCCTGTTACCTCACTGCTTTAAAATTGGCTCTCAGCTGCTCTACGGATTGCAGAGGAAGAAAGCAGAAAAAGCAAGTGGGTGGAGACAAACGGTAGCATTTTTTTTAATTTACATCACAGTGCACAGAAAACTATGGTGTTTACAATGGTAACATTGCATCACCTGATAAAAAAACTACCTGTGTAACTGTGAAGCCCTCTGGTGCAGAACCCTTTTCAATCTTGAATTTTGGACAAGCTACAAGCTACATTCTGCTTTCAATTATCAGTATATCCTTTCAGATAAATAAGGAGTTACAACAACGCACCTGGTCTTGCATCTGCACCGGCAATACCTCTATTCCCTTTTTGGCCAGGAATCGCCATGCCTGTTGCACCTCGGAATCCAGGGAACCCCATCAAGCCAGGAGGTCCAATAGGTCCTTGATCCCCCTGACAACCTTTCATACCTGGTGGCCCAGGAAAACCAGGCAGCCCCATGTCCCCTTTGATCCCTGCAGAGTATAAATATTACATAATACATTCGGGAAGAACTGTCAAGATAGTGAGATGGTGTGATAGCTTTTAGAAACTGGACTACACAGAATATGTGCTTTTATTGTACTGCCAAGGTGGAATTCAGCCATTGTTTTTAGTATGGAGACGCCCCAAAAGCCAACTTGTGACAGTAGAGCAAAAAGGTTGTGGGAAGACAGGACTTACTGCAATGTAGTGTACAAACTGCTTTTCTTTTAAAATTCCACTTCAGAGTTTGCTCATACAAAGGAGTACATTTGAAAGCAGATGGTAGAAAGACCAGAGTATAGAATATTTCTTTATGCAGCAATAAAAAAATGCTAGTTTGAACAACAGAACTTGCAAATCCTATCAAAATAAATTTTAGCTAAAAGTATCAATATGAGTGCTGTATAATAGGAAAATACTCCAGATGGATTCAGTTCGTTCTGATGTTGATCTTAAGGTGAATGGTTTATATACGGAGTGAATTTTTTTGTTTTTTGTTTTTGTTTTTTTTTTAAATAAGTAAAGCACATCAATGGATTTCTACCAGTCCTAGAAGTACAAAACCTAAAAACTAGGAAGTGTCTGCCCTAGTCAACTGTTTTTCCTTCTTGTGACTGTGTCAATATAAAAGGAGAGATGGTACCCAATTAAAATACAATCACTGTACCTTTCTTAAAGTCTTAACTTTACAAGCAAGAACTGTTGACTAAATCATTGATTGTAAGTGCAGAATCACCCTTTATTTCCTCTAACTCCCTCTGTGCCATTTTAAGCATCCTTTAGGACAATGTGACTTAACGACAAAGATAACTAGCGTAATATTTAACAACGAAGCTCCTGCTACCTGAAAAGATAACTCACCTTGACGACCAGGAATACCTCGCAGGCCAGGGATTCCTCTGCCTGGTGCCCCTACAAAGTATTAGGTCATGTTATACTTAACAGTCCTGAATAACTGATAGAAAACATCATAGCTGCTTAAAATTTCATATGTTTCTTCAATATTCACTAAGTTAAGATCGATATTTTAGTTATATGTAAAACGTCTGCATTGCTTATCTTCTACTGGTTCTATCCAGAAATACAAATGAAATCTTAAGTTTTTCTTTAAAGTGAGAACTCCTTTTTCCCAGTCGTATTTGAGGTACGTTCTGTCATACTAAACTTTGTCTGTCTTTCAGACAGAAAGAAAAATAAAAGAAAGAAAACACAAGAAAAATACTACTACTAAGAAAAAAGTACTACTCAGAAAAATAAAGAAGAAAAATACTACTAAGAAAAATACTAAGAAAAAATAAAGAAAAATACTAGTAAGAAAAATAAAACAAACAACACAAATATCTAAAAAAGAATTTACATAACAGTGTTTACTGAAAACATAATATGGAAAAGCTTACTAAATACTAGAGAATATCTGCTCAGTATCTTTTTCTATACTCACATACAAATAAACACCTTCACTCTAAAACATGAAAACACTTTCTATCAGAATGCAATGGAGAAATAAATCTATCTGTGGACATTGATGACATCAGGAGTGACACTTAACTGAAAGATTTTACAACACTAGGGCTAAGTCACGGAAAACTTGAGTACTGATCTAAGTGTGATCATTCATCACTTTGAGCCCTTATATCGTATGTCTAGGTAAGATCTGAGGCTCCTCCTTTAAAAGGATTTTGGTCCTCTTCATCAATTTGAGATTGAACACATAACATCAATACTCAGGCTCTTGCAGACATTAACATTTGGGGGGAAAACTATGACAAATCACATGTACAATAAGTGATGTATGCATTTGGGATGTTGACAGTATGTACAACAGTTGCATAGAAAGCCTGTGAATTATGTAAAAGTTAAGAACCTTCTACCTACCAACATATTTTTTACTCCACAGAAGCTCCTTAGTGATCCTCCCCAAAACCGACAAGGGAAACTTGGGGTGGGGGGGGCAGGGGAAAAGCAATTTTAAAATAGATTGAATAGAATTAACATATTCCACTGCTGTACCTGGTTCCCCCTTAACTCCTGGGGTGCCAGGCATACCATCCCGACCTTGATTACCCCTTTCACCAACAAGTCCATTTTCTCCAGGGTCTCCAACAGTACCTGTGAATTACAATGGGCCAGAATATCATTTCCACATCTCCCTTCGAAATGCAAAATAGTAGAAGAAATGAGTCTGCTTTATTAAAATTTTATTAGTGCAGCTACTTCAAAGATAGTTGCAACTATCTTGGTCAGATAAACAGTAGTAAGAGCAGTATCTCATTTTTATTGAGCTCTCTGGACTTCAATGGATTTAGGACCCTCATTATTTTCAAAGGCAATAGCTTCCTGTCTTTCAGAGACATTTTAGGACCCTGCCTTTGATTTAACCCATGCTGGTGGGACAGGCAGTATGGTTTCTCTCCAGAGGTTTATTACAAATTCAAGGTTTCTCTAAGTAAGGTGTAGATTGTCATCTTTGCCAACTCTGCTGATAAATCAGTGCAAACTCACTCAAGTTTACAAAACTACCACATAATTCAGTTGAGCATCTGAATATGAGAGCGTTCAATGCTCTTTTTGAAGACAAGAGCTTGCACTCCCTTTATTAAAGTCTGTATTGCATACCTGTCTGCCACTGCATATTTATATGCTTCCACTTAGGTATATTTTAAAAAGTTTGGTCTTTTCTGTTGCTCTAAAAACAGCAACTCTGTCTTTTCCCTATTCTTCTCATTGTCTAGCTAGATTTTTATTATTCTGTCTAAGGAGCTAGAACAAGCCTTTCTTACTATTTATGCGGATATCACCTCTCTTTGAGGCTTCTGGATGAAAACAAAAAGCAGAAAGTTTTACAACAATGAAAACAGAACTAAAGCCTCTTGCCTGAGCTGAGCTGATACTTTAAAAATAGGCTGTTAAGGATCCTTAGTTGGAACTGAAAAAGGTGAACAGAGCCTCATACCTGCATAAACAGAGATTCCAACTTCAACTGCAAGAGCAGGAATATCAACTGTGTCACTACAATGCATGAAGTGAGTAACAAACCAGAGGACAGTGATTTGAGGAAGGTGCTATAAATCATACCTGGAGGCCCTGTAATGCCCATTCGTCCTGGAACGCCCTGAAGTCCTTTAGCACCAACATCTCCAGGAAGTCCTGGTTCCCCTGTAAGAAGAGAGTTTGGGAGAGGGGAAAAGACGCTATTGCTTGGAATTTAGTTCAGGACTAGACCCAGACTCAGCTTGACAACTTTGCTGTCATTTCTGTTTTGGAGAGCTGGGACAGAGCTTTAGCCGATGTAAGCTAGGCTGGCTGTGCTGACTACAAAGGAGACGCTTTGAGTATAAACGTGCCATGTCACAGGCACCTTCTGTGGTTTATTGAGAAATTCTCTTCTAGAGGCATGTCAGCACCTCACCACCCCTCTAAAACAAAACATACCTGGGATTCCTGCACCACCAGATTCTCCTCTGATCCCATCTGGTCCCGGTACTCCTGTATGTCCTGGCTGACCTTGGAATCCTTTTTCTCCTTTGCTGCCTAAACCTCCAGGGGGACCTAGATCTCCCTGATAAACAGCAGCCAAGCACAAATAGATAAAGAATCCCTTATCATTACATACATTACATTCTAAATTTGTACAACAGAAAAGTATATATAATTTTAAAGGTTAAGAGAGTATAATCATGGTTCAGTATGATTTTCAGAAAAAAAATAAAGTAGACTAATACAAAGTCTTATCATAATACCACTGACTCTTTAGATAAGGATATTATTTGTTTAATCTGTACAAAATTGACTTCAGTTTTTAGGTACTCTTTTTGCCAGCACTTTGTACACAGACTTCTCTCCAACTGTATTCTAACAGCTCCTCTCTTGATCCAAATATACATTTCTTACATAATAAACATATATGCAAAACACTGAAATGCACCTTTTTCCCTAAATTCTTGCTTTTTAGTCATTTGGATTAGAATAGAGGCAGACAGATGATTGGGTTTGCTTATGGAAATTTAAGACTGACTTGCAAACTAGTCCTATTGTGGCTACCCAGATAATACAGAAACTAAACAGATAGATTGCACATGGTGCAATTTACAGCTTGAACCATGTATTTCAGAGAATCTCATATGTAAAGAGATTTCCAGTTATTCATCAATCAGAATACGTGGAGTAAGATTTTACGAATTTGAGCTAACTTCCATTTAACAATAAAAATATATTGCTAAGAAAACAATTCATCTTTGCATAATGATATTACTAGACTGTCAAAAGCCAACAATACAATTGTAGGTATCATAATTTTTGCATTTGCTAAAATATTTTTTGTGTACTTCTTAATACACAAGTATACCTACTGTTGGCTTTTTAAGTGCAAGTCCAACTTCTCAACGGATTAGTATCTTTTTCAGAAACATCAAAGTTATTTCCAAGATGTTCTTTACAAATATGACATTCTTGCACACAGAGAAAAATGAACTATAAGGAACTCAAAAATTCTCCTAAACATTGACATAAGATTTTAGAATTTCTCATCACTAACAAATAATCTGCTTATCTGCTGCGGCCTCTCTAGGTCTTGCTTACAGGTTATTTTGTTTCTACAGTCAAAGGATCTGCTTATGGGCCAATATGACAGTATGTCCACTGCCTTTATACCTTCGGACCAGGTTCTCCTGGAGGCCCAGGAACTGGGTAGCCAGGGTCTCCTTTGTCACCTGGAGTGCCACCAGAGCCTACTTGCCCAGGGTCACCTGATGGTCCTGGAAAGCCTGGAGATCCTTTTTGGCCTTTTGGACCTGGAAAAACACAGATATTGATACCATTCTTCAAAGGATCGTAATTGTACAAAACATACAATGTTTTGCGAAATTCTACTTGTATTTTCAGATGCTCACTTTGCATTAGAGATAAAATGATTTGTATATTAAGTGATTTTAATTCTAAGCACATTAAAAGAGGTGCTTACGTTTACCAGTACATAAATTAAAGAGGTTGTATTTCATTTATTGTTTATAATTACAATTAAAGCTTACAGAGAGAAAGACTTATGATCACTGGGCTAGCACTTGATTACAAAGCTAAGTAGAAGGGCTATATAGTGCCATACCCTGACTAATTCTTGTCCTGTACCCTCCAAAAAAATATTACAGATTGCATGCTGAGATGGACAGTTGGAACATATTTATTAACATTGTGCTTCATAACTAGAGAGGGAGAACTACATTCTGCAATTCAAGCAGCTGTGTGGGTGGGTAGAAAAATACAAGTCCAGGAAAGTAGAAGTCTCAGTCTGAGTAAGTATTGTGTAGTGTGCTTACAGTAACTGCTCAGATCTGTGTAAATGCTTTACACAATTGCATGAATTTGTAACAAGACTTGATAGAGAATAACCTGGAATTCCCATGTCCCCCTTGTTTCCTGGTGCTCCCGAGAATCCCTGTCCTCCAGGAATCCCTGGAAGACCCATAAATCCTTTGACACCTGTAAGATGAATAAATAGAAACCATTTTCATGTCTTTGGTTTAGACACCGATATTTGAGCCTAAAGTTTCCTATTTATCACCTCAAATTAGATCAGGTAATGGTCTGTATTTGCAAGAAAACAAATAATCATTTGGTGGTAGCTACTATAACTTTCAAGTAGCAGTTTTTGTAATTGCTCAGCTTCAGAATACTCAAAAGAGCTTCAGAGTTAACACAGAGAATGTAGTTTTGCTACTGAAGCTGTTTTTATATGTTAGTGTTGAGGTAATATTAATCCCTACCCTCCATGTGATACAGCAATTTTTAATACTGATACTGCATACCTGGTAGACCAGGTATTCCTTCCGACCCAACAAGACCTGGTGGTCCTTGCACACCTGCATCTCCTTTTTCTCCTCTTAGACCCATCCTTCCTTGAAATCCTATAACAAAGTTTCACAAAAATAGAACTAAAAAACAATGTCTTGGAAAACGGGCAAAAGCCTATTAAAATAGCAGAGAAGCAGAATGGAATATAGGATCTTCAGCTCGTAGACAAACAAAAGCAAAACACAACATGACTGTCAATGTTTTTAGTATTTCTCATATGGACACAAATGTAAGTTTCTGAAAGTTTCTACAGGAAAAGTCTACAGAAAAAGCCAGATAACATTAGCTAAGCATGTACAACTCATATACAGAGAGTCTACATTGACACTGCAAACAAAATAATTCTTCTGACAGTCAAATATCTCTGAATAGACTCAATTTCTTTGCAGTCCAGCATCTAGTTGGTGAACACACCCATTTTTGTGTTCATGGGCTACTAAATGTGTAAGAACTTGACTATATAGGATGCATATATGCAAGCTTCCTAGTACTACCGAAATATTATTACCGATTTGACATTACACTGATAGGATTTTTAAGGCATATGGACTTGTTAAAATGGAAATAAATATTCAGTGTAATATCCAGCTATTCAATTAATAAAAAGGCAATTACAATGCACTAATTATTTCAAAGCATTGTTAATTCTTTGAGCACTTGAATCAGTTTCTTTCAAGTGTTAGAGCCCACCAGAATGGCAACATAGTTTTGAATGAAAGAGCAACAATGCATACCTTTTGAGCCTTGTTCTCCTTTATTCCCAATATCAACCAAGGTCTCAGATGGTCCAGGAAAACCTTTATCACCTGGTTCCCCTTTTTGTCCTAGAAATCCTTTTCTTCCCTTTAGTCCTGGAAAGCCAAAAGAACCTGCAATAAAATAAAAATAATTATTCTGAGGAAATCTGACCAACCGATAACGTATGTAAAGGAATCAATGAAACTCCTGTCTTTAAGAGTAACTAAATATGTAAATATACATGTCAGGTAACAACCTAAAACAGCTTTTTAATTACTGCAGTCATCAATGAAACATCTCTGATCATGGATCATGGCAAGAGACTGTAATTGTTTCTTACAATGAGTATAAATATAGTTAAATAGATATAATAATATGTTGAAAATAAATGGGATAACAAAAAAAAAAAAGAACAAAAAGCTTTGTTTTTCGGCTAGCAACATTCCCAGCTATTTTCACAAATACCTGAGAAATTGAAAAGGTGGCAATTTAAAACTGTTAACAGAAAATGTGTTGTCACTTAGTCTGTAGACTACACAACATACTGAAGTCAAGGATTTAACAAGACTCAAAGAAATTTTAGTCATTAACTATACAACAGGAGTACTCAGGAGTGATAACATACAACGAGATGGATCACAAGACTACTTCAGCATGAAAGTTCCTATAGTCTTCTTAAGTAATAATGAAGGTAAATAAAACTATGGCTACTTGCCTCTGCTACCCGGGTTGCCTGGGCTTCCAAACACGCCAGGGGGTCCAGGAATTCCCAGTGGGCCCATGATACCCGGCTCTCCCCTTAAGCCTAGAGAAATGAAGCAGCAGGAACGTATTTTGTTAGTATTTGACCAGTGAAAGAGAACATTACTTTAGAAAATTATAACTGTGCCTGTCAGTTAAGCAGTTTGTTGCATCTTTTCATTTTCATTTTATTCCCTTCTGCCCCTCCATATCTTTAACATACTTGTAGAAGCCAGTTTCGTAGTCTTTAACCACATGAATAGCATTTGCACACACGGTAAACCTCAAACAACCTAGGTAAGTAACAACGGTCTAATTGACAGTGAGTATTGTGCATCTGAATCATCCACACAGGGCTCGGAGATCTGTCACAGGATGTATGGGAAAGCTGTTCCTCTCTGGCCCAGGAGTTAGAGGCCAGCTGGAATATGACAGCTCATCTCAAATGACACTAGATGCCTATGTTTAGGCAGCTGAGTCAAGCCCTACATGTTTACAGGTTGTATCTCTAAAAAGGCATGTATCATCTCCTTCCCACAAAATAATAAAGGATTTGAGAATATTGAAAAATCTTTGTCAGAAATAAGAAGCACTACATACCTGATTTGTTTCCTTCTACAAATCAACTTTGAACAAATTTCTGAAAAAAAAACTACAGGCATTTACTTACCTGCCTAATCTAAACTCAGCTCTGGCTAACATGACAGAGTTTGATCCGAGTCACAACTCTGACAGATTCAAGATCTGAACTTGTCTTTTTTAGAAGAAGAAGATGGCATTGACAAGTTACCTGTTTGAAAAGGGAAGCTGAATAAGAACTTCTACTAAATATTACTGAGTGCTAGTACTAACATTCTTCTGAATGTTAGAAGCCATTTCTTCTAAATGTCTTCTACTAAATACTTCTACTAAGTACTTTTACCAATGCTCCATTATGCTGGGCAGTCACTTTGAATGACAGCTAGTTAACATCCTGCTGCAAGGACATTGCTGTACAGAAAACAACAGCAGGTATCCTGTTCTCAAAATGCTGCTTTAGAAAATTCAATACTGCGTCATGACAACCTCAAGATATCCTTGCTGTTCAGGGAATGCGGATCGATTTGTTTTCCATATAGATCTCAATGACATACGAAAGCGGAGCATCTGTCTATTATTTGGAAAATATTTCTGCATCTTCGATTTGGAAAATCATGACTGACACCCTTCTGCAGAGATTGACTTAATTTCTGTGTCAAAATACGTATTTGCAGAATCCTTACCTGGCACACCAGAGATTCCCGGCCTTCCACGCTGTCCCTTGGGACCAGGTAATCCTGTATTTCCCTGAGAGCCTATTAGTCCAGGTTCCCCAGGATTTCCAAAGATTCCTGGGATACCCAGGCCAGGAGGACCTGGTTTTCCTTTTGAACCTAGCATACCTCTTCCTCCTAAGAAAAAAACATGACACAGTATGTATGGCACATCTTTCTGGGAAAGAAACCATCATCACCTCGAGCTTGCCATCATGAACATGAAACTCTTCCTGGACCCTGGGAATTTTGCCTGCATGAGGGCTCTATAGAAAATCTATAAGAAAACATATTTATTCAGGTGTTCTTAAAGAGATTTGAAAAAAAATCCAAACCAAGAAAAAAAACAAATAAAAAACAGAGCAGATAATCCTATTGTTTCTCAGAAAAAAAAACAGTTCTGCATTTATCCTCTAAACACTGCATTTTCATACATCTCCCAGGGAAAAAAAAATCCTTCTGAGATCTTCCAAAAGGAAAGGACTGAGCTGGGTGCTTAAGACTGTCCCCTCTTGGAAGGGATATCATAAACAGTATATGCAGGTACTATGAAGCCCTGAATTTCTTTTCCACATAGCTGAGCTCTTCCTCTGTTCCTCCTCTGTCCTCCATTCTTTACATTGCACTAAGTAACCTATACTCAGCCCCATACAAGAAGAGGTCACTGAAATATCCTTTTTCCTGTGGAATTTAGGCCAGTTTGTGATTACTGTTTGTGCTGTACAATGGAATCTGAATCTTAAACCATGGAGCCAACTCACCACATGTTTTCCCTTCAATCTGCAGACAATGGATCTTTTAACTGAGCTCCCATTTTCTTGCATACTACTGTATAACCAATATCCATAAACAAGTTCAGTTCCCTCAGACCTCTGTAAGGTACAAACACTGAGACTCACCCAGCCAAACGGCACATTTAATTCAGAAAGTCCTACCTGGTGGGCCTGTAGCTCCTTCGCCACCTGGCAAACCTGGCAGTCCAATAAGACATTTGGCAGGCTTCCCTGGAAGACCTGGCTCCCCAGGAATTCCAGGTGAGCCAGGATCTCCTAAAAGAAAGGAGATTGGTTTCATAATGATAAAACAGTAGTTTGAAGCTTTGAGTGAACGTTGTTTGACTTGGCTTCCCTTTCCTTAAAATATAGATGTAAAATGTTGTGTTCCTAGTGCTTATTTGACCACAGTACCTCTTAGGCCATCATCACCATCACGTCCAGCATGCCCTGGTAGGCCGGGCCAGGAAGGCCACTGCCTCCCTGTGAACCCGTTCTACCTGGCTCTCCAGGAATAACCATGCCTGGATCACCCTGCAACACACATAGAAATGTTAAAAAGCCACATGCAGTGCATTTTGTAAATCTGACAAATATCACTTTATCCATCCTGTAGGTGACATCTTCTTATATTAGGCAATTACCACCATTTCCTGGGATCTTTCACATTACCATTTGTAATGGCTCCAATTCAGTAGAGCACTGGATGTTCCCTACTGCCCAGCTGGAGGTCCCACATCAGAAGCATAATTCATCTAACCAGCTTTTGAACATTACCTTCTTACTCTCCTACAGAAATTGCTACTGAGCAGTGCAAGGCACTTCCTTCTATTTGGCCAGTACAGCATTATGATGTTTGCTGTAACTATGAGAAGTTTTGGTTGTGTATCTGAAAAATGGATTGAAATCTGTGCAAGTACAACTTTTCCTTTAATTTTCTTAATAGTCATATTTTCATCCAAATATTTATTTAAATAATCAAGGCTGGATGTGTCTCAGAATACTCAGTCATTGTTTTAATTTTTCTATCATTCTTCCAAACATCTTTTTCTCCATGAAGACTGTTTTTTGTGACAAATGTCCAGAGTCCCTGAAAGGAAAGACTGGATTCCTTTTTCTTACTGGCTGAATGAAATGCTGGTTAGTGGAGTTCTGAGTACCAGCAAATGAATATGATCTTAAAGCAGGCCAGCAGAGCCAAGCTTATACCAGTTACTGATGGTTCGTTTGGACCACAAAGGCCACTCAAAATCCAGCTGTTTGATGCCTTCAAGTACAGAAGAGATAATTAAAAAAAAAACACATAAGGCAGACATAACTGTTTGTCACGTCAAGAAAGACACGAAAGGTAATGAAATATGGACAGATGCAAAAAAATAAAAAAGAAAAAAGAAAAGCCACCTTTTCAAGATAATCAAGTGTTATTTTGTTAAAATTTAGATCCTGACTAGAGAGTAGCCAAGAGTCCTACACTTACATATGTCATCAGTAGCTTAGCTTCTGTTAATCAAGAAGAGTGGTTGTAGATATTACCTCCAACCTATTTCATTCAGGCTTCAGCTCAGTAGAGCACTTCCTTGCATTGAATGTATATTTACTTGTCATCTGCCTCCATCAAAAATGTGCTTAATTGCGATTCCTGAAAAACCACGTTTTCAGAAGCTGTGACCTTAATTATTTGCTGTAAGTAATGCAATAAATATCCTCCTTGCACTCTGAAAATTGCATTCTCAAAGCATCCCAAACACCTGGATCCTATATCTGGATTTAAAATTTTGGCTTGAGCCCCCTTTTATAAACAATTTTGTCTCAGTTTTTGTGTGTCACTGGTTAGGAAACAGAAACTATACTCCTTACACCTCTTCTTACTTTGCTTAGCGTCACACTTAATAAATAGGACCTATCGAAAAGTTTGCACTGCATTTCTAACCAAACCTTTCCTCCTGGTAGTCCTAGATTTCCAGATCGGCCTGGATCTCCAATCTTTCCTTCACAACCTGGTGACCCTTTTCCTCCTGCAAGTCCTTTATCTCCTGCAAAAGGAGAATCAAATGGCAGTAAAAATGCTATGGTTATCACCATGGTTATTTTGCAAATAGGTATTTGTATGGATGTGGTTATAAAGTTCTGACACTAACGTAGGTTACATAAAGACAGCATCCTGATTTCAGAGCTGACGTGACAGGCTGAATCTTATTCCTTACATATTCACTCAATACTGATTGTAACACGGCTCAGTTATTTTGTTTTCTTTTGCCTGCCTTAAAAAAACAAACAGATTAAAGTAACTGGTAAATGAAGCATTTCTGGTATCTGTTCCTTACCTTTTTCTTCAAAAAGCAACAAGGTAGAGCTTTCAGTGTCAGAGTTTTCAAATTTTGTTTTTTTCCCTGGTGGGATTACGGAAATAGCTCCAAATATTTCTAGTGTCCAAAGACATTTTAAAAGTGGGGCATGACAGCATGAGGAATGGCCACATTCACAGCACTCAAAACACTTTCTATTACCTGCACAGTAGAGCAGGTACTGCACTGTACATAACCAAAGTTGATTAAAAATAAAATACTAGCACTTATATAGCTCTCTGTCTGTAATACATACACAGGTAAAGACAATCCATCTGAAGTAAGCATGGCACTCAGATGAACTGCAACTGTTTGGCCAGTTTTGCAGGAAGCCTCAATGTCCTGTCCCTTTTCTGACAATTACAGGCTCTCTTTGAAGTAGATTCTCTGCTTCGGATATCTCTGCACTTCTACAGAGGGTACCCTCTTGCCAGTAAAGCCTTAGAAACATCTTTTAAAATATTTTACTACTGACAGCTTTGATACTTGGTTCTCTGAAATACTTCAAAATATTGTAAACTTACTATTTATAAGCTTGAAGGTAGAAAATTCTAAGAGGACTAAAAAACTTCTGCCTGACTAATGTTAATTCATTTTTTTAATTTGTTCATTGTCTTTAATCTGGAGGGAAAAAAAACAAACCAGTAGGAGGCAGTTTAAAAAAAAAAAAAAAAAAGAGAAAGAAGGGAAAAAAAAAAAAAAAAAGCATTTTACCTTTTGGACCAGGGTTTCCAGGAAATCCAAGCCCTGGAAAGCCTGTGTCACCTGTTGGCCCTGGGTGCCCTGAATCACCTGGCTGACCTCTAGCTCCAACTCTACCTATACAAAGAAAATAAGTGAGCTCTGATGCATCTTGCCACAGAACTTCAAAATATAATGATTGGGCATTCACTAGTTTACCATTATTAATTAGGACATCACTGTAGATAAGTTCATTAGACCACAGGCACTATTTCTCCTCCACAACAGGTTCTCACAGTTAAAATGCTAATTGTGATCTCTTTGTTCACATTATCAAACCAGGCGCAAGTCTGTAAGTTAAGCCTTTATGCAATCTGCCCAAGTCTCAGACTTATGCAAACAACTATGCGCAGATACACGTTTTCTACTTGTTGAGAACATGCAAACACATATTACGGGCTCGGAATGGAAGCAAGGGTAAGAATAAAAGCTACCAAAAAGCTGAAAAAATATTCTCCCACGCTATTCAGGGCAGCTTTAAGGACTCTTGTTCTACAAAACCAAAGCAAAGAGACCTTACGGTTAACCTGGATCTAGCTCACTCTCTTTCTGGGCATCATAAATTCTGCAACATGTAAGAAACCAGCAAGCAAAAAAACCACTCCTAAAACCCACCCAAAAAGGAAACCCAGGTTCATAATATCATAGAACAATAGTTAGTAATAGTAACTTAAAAAAAGAACCTGGAAAAACTCAGTCATACAATTATCTTTCTAGTAAGCTTGCAAATACCTTAAGAGAATTTCTGACCGTACCCCTATAAGGCATATGACAGCCCAAGGGTTTCAGGAAGCTTAAGAATGCTTTAAGTTTGATCCTCCTTCTTTGAGGGCTGCAGCAGTCCCAACATAATTTTGGACAGGACCTGTCAAAATTATGCCAGAGGCTCCTTCCTGGATATATGAACTGCAGCATGTGCCCCAGAGGTTTCTGGTTGTCTGAGGAACTGAGTCATAGCATAGTACTGCTTGGAATCCCTGCCATACTGCAAACCGTGGACATGTCCCCCGTGCCCTTCCTATTCACATTTGCATTCTTTGCTCCTAGTTTTCTTGAAAGGAAATGTTATGGCTAATTCCACAGTTCCTGCATCACAGAGGTCAGTTCTATGGTATTTTACAGTTACAAAATAACCCAGCAGTTTCATCTGGCCAAAGCTGGGAGAGATACCCTACCCAGATTATCTCTGACTTTTGCTGCATTTAGCGTAGACATACTCACCAGGCACTCCTGGGGGTCCGGGTAAACCAGCTGGCCCCTGTGGTCCTGGTAATCCAGGTAATGGAGTTATCATACTGGTCTCTCCTTTCAAACCTTCAGGAAATACATAATCAAAGCTTACAGAGGTTTATCATTTGGAAATGTACAGTCTTAAGCATTTAAAAATACAGGTGAGTAATCTACTCGCAGTCTTCCACACTTTCCCTCCGTCTGAATTTCCAACAGATTTTGAAAAGCCTTAACATTCTGGCTTCGTAATAGCAAAAGTATTCTATTGATACCAAGCCAATCTCAAGCTCTCTTCTCAGCCCTCCTGCAGCCTCGTGGAGAGCCAGAAAAGGAAGCATGGAGACAGCAGAAAAATGATGCAATTAAGAGATGCTTCAGCTGCAGCTCCACTCCATAAAGATTTAATAGGTGTCATGCCCTCCTGGATGAAATGACTGTGAAAACATATCAACGACCCCACATTTGGTTTGGACTGGAAAGACTTCAAGCCACTGAATAAGAGCTACTGCCAGCATCAGTGTTGAAGGCCCTCAGAAGAAACTAAAAAGAAACAAAAAAATCTCACAACTAACAATATGTCCAACAGATTCTTCTAGATTTTTAGGTACGGGAAGCAAGGTGACAACACCAGAAAGAGTCTCAAAGATGTCTTATTCTCAACACTCAAACAGATACATGCTGATAATTTCATCACACAGGATAGCAAACTTGCATCTTAAATCAGATGTCAATAGCTCAGACATATGGTGTCCAATCTATCACAGCAGTTATGAGTACAAAAACCCACAATCACATGGATTTAAAGTACAAAAATCTCTTTAAGATGTCTTGACTATAGGTCTTCTGTCCATCTTGGAGTTCTTCCAGATTATACTTGGCTATAAATACACTAGTATGTTTTTGGCACTCAGAAGTGACCAAGTCTTTTGTATTTTCCCTTCATTACTTAAGCTTATACTGACAATGCTGACTGGCTCTGTATTAAAAATTTTTTTTTTCCCCATGGTAAAGACAGTCAGGCAGTGGAACAGGTTGCCAGAGAGACCATGCAGTCTTCCATCCTTGGAGGTTGTCTAGACCCTACTGGATAAAGCCTTGAGTAACATGGTATGATCTCATAGCTGACCCCGCTCTGTGCAAGAAGTTGGGCTAAACATGCTATGGGGTCCCTACTGTTTTCAGTGGGATCAAAATTGGAACAGTGCTTGGAAATGGAAATCTCATCCCAAGATAAGCTTCCTATGTTTCATAAATCATTTCTGTGCCTTCAATCCTATCTCTGCAATTTCAAGCAAGTGCTCTTTAACACAGGTAAAGAATGGTAAAATCAGAAGTTACAAACCAGCTTCTCCAGGTAATCCAGGTGGACCAGATACTCCTTTAGAACCTTTGAGACCTCTTGTTCCTTGTGGTCCATATCCTGGCGGTCCAGGAAGCCCCATCTCTCCAGGGAGACCAAGATTACCAGGCAATCCTGGTAGTCCTCTGTTTCCTTTTGAGCCAGTCGATCCCTATTAATGATTACACATACGTGTATACCGAGCGTTACTCGTTTTCCACGCCAGCTTTTATAAAAAAATGTCTGATCCTCTGCACGACTATAATCTCAAATTATTTTAACAACAAAGTACCTCTGCTAACTTAAGAGGAATTAGTCCTCTGGTTTAGTTATGACTTCTGATTAAAAGAATATGGATTTTTATAACAATGGTTATAAACAGAGGGCATTTATTCATCCTTTCTATTATATTTATTTGTACTCTTTCTCTTTTAAAGAGCTTGATTTTCAATCCCTGTGGCATTATACTGTACACCTTCTTTATCAGTTCTGGGAGAAAAAAAAAGCAGCAAGACAACTCAAGAAAACTCAGCTCTGATTCTCCTTGAATATAGGCTTGGAGATACTTATGTCTGAACCACTTCAGTTTTTCAACAAACACAGCACAACAATTGTTAGGTTTTTATTCTGCTGAAGAAAGAGTTCTGCTCTAAGGATCCTAGACTCATGGTGGGTTCTCCCAGCTTTTATCGTTTCTCTCAGCCCTGACTAAAGATTAACTCTTAAAGACTGAACATGAATTATTTGGAGAAGATGATCCTTTCATTTTAAGCATCATGAGTGGACAGGAAAACTGCCATTATTATTTTTTCATATTCATCCTAGGAAGTCAAGCCAATGCTCCAGTTTAAATATCCAAACCAACAGCACAATTGACTGCTGAGGTTTTTCCAGCAACATGAGTCTACTAGAGCTCATCTCTTGCTGGTATTACCTAGGAATATTTACTCTCATTCTTTCATTTCTCCTTTTGCCTATTAGCTGCTATAGTTGAATACATTACGCCTAAATCAGATAGAGGATATTCAGGTAAAACATCTGAACAGATTAAACAGACTGTCGTACAGGGATTATTGACATAGCTTTCCATGAGTGCTATAATAATTGTAAAGAGTGCATACCCACCTGTTCGCCTTTAGAACCCTTTGAGCCTTTAGAGCCAGGTCTTCCCACAAATCCACTTGAGCCTTTTCTTCCTTTGTCTCCCTCAGCCCCCAGATCTCCTTGTTCACCTTTGGGTCCCTCTGGATACACGTATCCTGGATCACCTTTTGATCCTTTATGTCCTCGATCTCCTTTAAAACCTGGAAGTCCCTGGAACAAATCAATCAAGAGAATTTCTGTGCTAGACACATGCCAACTGTTTTCAAGCTTTCCTTTTACAGTAGATATCTGAGGGTGGCTCTCTTTATTCTCAATTTCATTTTCAGTAAGTGCACACTTCAAGGAGCAGGGTTTTTTTTCTGCCTTTACTCTTTTTGGCCCTGATTATCATCTCATTTACGCTACTATAAACAGGAATAATGCAGGATCATTTAATGGATCAGACTGTTAGCTACGTGTTTGTGCTTTTGTGGCACAAAGGAAAGGACAAGAAAATACCTTAAAAGCATCTGATCTAAGATTTCTCTTCCATAGGGAGATACCTCCCAGGGACTAAAGCTGCCACAGTTGGCTCTGTCTGCTGTAAACTCCTGGTCTCTCTTCTTTCCCCCGCAGGGTACAGTGTGGAGCTGAAAGCACACTGGGCTCTAGTGATCTTGGGTTAATGAACTCTTGTGAACCTTTGGGAAAAGCTTGTTAGCAGGCTGTTTCATTCTGCATTTGTATGGCATTGAGCACAATGAATTCTTGTGTGTGACTGTTTTGTATTGGGCAGTGCTGAAGAGGTCTGATAGTAAATCCTCAAAAATAATTATTACTGCAGGCACAAGTTACAAGAGCCAAGTGGTATGCCTGTGGCAGGTGTCTGCATTCTCTCTTCAGCAAGTTCCCCAAGAGGGGACGTCCTTTGTATCCTTGAAGAGAGTTGTATGAGAAGCCAGTTCCTCCGTGCAGCTGCAGCTCTGGGAAGCCCCGAGTCTGCTGGACGCAAGATATATGAGAGGTTTGACTAAGATCACACAAATTATCTGCTTTATAGCCACTGCCATGATTATGGCATTATGTAGACATCCACGAGTTAGTTGCAAACTAGCCAGATCAGGTATAAGCAGTCTAGCCATCCTGAAATACGGCACAGATTAATTGCCCAGGTATTTACCAGCCTCATGCATCAGACTTGTACCCTGAGCTGAATTTCCTACTGCACTGAGCAAACTAGGCTTATTTAAAGCTAGGTCAACTATGTTCACACTGCAATCACTACTTAGGCCTGCCATGCAGACACGTTCATTACCATCATTAAAGAGACGGCTGTTGTGATCAGCTAGTATGCCACTGCATGTAACACCAGCCAAGAAGTTTCTCTGAAATAATTTTGTAGGATCTGAAAAATAACCTGAAAAACTCAAGTCTTACTTGAGCCCCTGGAAACCCTGGTGTTCCTGGAGAACCTGGAGATCCTTTGGGACCTGGTGTTCCTTCTCTACCTGCAAGAGAAATAGCATTTTTTGTACAGAACAATTGAAACAAGGAAATGGATTTTGACAAGCTCCGATAACCACACTTAGCCCTGAACATTACTGTCTCTCACATTTACTGCATGAGCACAGACTGACCTGGCTTCAGGCTGCATCTCAGCCCAATATTATTCTAGCTTCAGCTGTTTTAGGACTTCTGCTCCTATCAGTGCACAGACCTGCACAATGCTATATTAAATCATCATATCCTCAGGATCAAAGATCTCGAACACAGGCCTATATTGCATACTGTGGGCACGCATGAGTCCTGATTCTCATGCAAAAACCGAAAGCATTGGCATGTCCCACTATCCCCTTATGAACACCAAGACATTTTACCACGTATGCCATCTTGGCCATGTGGCCCAGGAGAACCAGGAAGACCAGGTGTTCCTGGAATATAGCTGCAATCAGTACACACGCAAGCTTCATCACCTAGAATGAAGTTATATATTTATTAATTGTTCTACAGCAAGTTATTCCCAAGTTTAACTAATGTATTGCATTATTTAGTATAGAGGATGGCTGATATATTTTGGCCAGAGCTGTAGGAATATGGCCTTAATTTTGTTTACATATCAAACTTTGCATGCCTTAAGAAAAAAATCACTTCCAACACAGTATAAATTTTCCTGTGGTCAGACAGTGAGTCAGAGCTGATTACATTTAATTGAAAATGTAGGAACATTCACTAGATTTTTAGAAGTCTAGTTTCAGTGAACTGGTTGGATACAAACACTCTGTTGATAGGCCAGATTCTCTCAAAAGAGGAAAGGGACACAGGCATCGAACTACCATGGCGCAGTAACAGCCTGAGACTTTAATGAATGGCAGGTGGCACAGAGATTCAGTAGTTCCTGTGGTGATGTTTGCAGGAGGAAGCTAAAGGATTTGAGATTGATATACTTTTGGGGGTTGGAAAAGGATTTTATTTCTAGTTCCTACTCTCAAAGAGCAACTGTTAGTCAACAGACATAACACTGGGGGAAGGTGAAAACCCCACCCACCTGTAATCATTGTTTGTCCCCGTGGAGATCTACACCCTGGATGCAGTGCGGGACAAATGGTAGGCAGCACTGGCACACTTGCTGCTTTTTTTACTTGCTGTTCATTAAGAGAGGAAGACATCTTGCTACCCTAAATGGATTTTCTTCACCCTCCGAACTCATCAAATGTCATGAGAGGTCAATTGGTTTTTGACTTTCATGAGGACTCGTGAAGATTGCCAGATTGTACCATCTACTTCTGAATGATAGTCTTCAGGAAGGACATAGAAATGGCAAAAGTAATTTTTCCACTCAGCTATGGTTTTCAGCTGAAAAGGAAGGACCAGTAGCTACCAATACAGTCCAGTCCTGATCTCACTCAGAGAAAGCACTTCCATATGAAAAATACGTTACATGAAAGCAAAATGAGACCTGACAGAGAGGAAGAGAATAGATACAGCCCTACACTGAGACTGAACATAATCTTTCTTCTACTCCTGTCTTTATTTCTCCTAAGTTAGAGCGGCTTTCCTGAAAATGGAAGATATTGCTGCATAAGGATAAGCGTTGGTGGTGTTTCTGACATCTTGTTATTCCACATCTGAGTGAACACCATGCCAATCCCAAGAACATTGTTTGTAAACATAGTAACTGACCTTTCATGCCAGTATCTCCGGGAGGTCCTGGAGGTCCCACATACCCTGGCTCTCCAGGAAGTCCTGGTAGGCCAGTTCTAAATGTTACTCTACCTGTTAACGAGATGAGTGTGTCACCATTGCATCACTAGACTGTTCAGACAATTCTCTATTTGCTGACAGGGAAAGAAGATGCAGTGATCAGGTGGAGATAATACTCATTTAAAAGAAAGAACAACCTGGACAAATCCAAAATATCTGTAGCTGGAAGCATGCAAGGATAAATTTGGTAATGCTGAGGTAATCTCAGCAGACCGTTGGATCCACCTGTGTAGCCATGATGCTACCTTTAAAAAGCACAGTTCCCGCTGTGGAAAGTATTGACATTTTATCTGAATCAGCAGAAAACAGAAAGGATTCTTTCTCTTCTAGGAACAGAAAGGAAACTTTTCATTCTAAGCTATTAATGCTGCTCACGTGTCTTTGATAGCATTATTCTGAGGTATTTGCTATTACTTTAGAACAACAGAAAATACATCAAGCTCTTCCTAGGGCAATATATTTGAAGGGTAGATATATTAAAAAAAAAAAGAGGGAGTGAGGGGGAAAGAGAAAAGAGAAGCATAAAACCACTGAAACTGGTCTAGGAGAACTTGTTTCGGCCATACCACATATGAAAGAAATGTGATGTTATTGGTACTCCTAGATAAAGAGTTGAAGTTCATGCACTTATTTCCAGAAGTTTTATCAACTGCATTTATTCAACTGGTTCACCTATTCCTTTGCTATCACTTTATTTACATGCTGCTGGAACTTCAAACCTGCTCTACGGTCCACTATGACCAGTGGAAGTTTGCAATTTATTTCTATGACTTTTAGATTAGCCCTTTCTGAATTTATTTTTACAGATTCACTGCAAATTTTGGAAGAATTACCCTTAAGAACAGATGTTCTCTCACCATTTTTCCCATTTTTATGTAGCAGATTTTTATAAAAAAAAAGGCCAGTCCTCTTTATATTGGAAAGTCACTGTATCTTCCTTGTAGAACCTCATATTAGCAATGGAGCACAGCCCTTTATTATGTATGCTTTTTCACGAATATTCTAAAGCATAAAATTTCCAAAAAGAAAGTCTAGTCAACCATGTTACTCAAAACATGCTCCTTAAGTCATGTTTTCATATAATTTCAATCATCAGATATTTAGATGGCTCTGAATTTTTTCTTGTCCGTTACATATATACAGTTACACAATATTGAAACATCACCTGGTACTCCCGGGGCACCTGGTAATCCAACAGAACCAGGCCTGCCTGTAATCCCAGGTAGTCCTGGAGGCCCTACAATGGGCAAGCCAGATTGTCCTTTCTCTCCTTTAATTCCTTTCGGGCCAGGAAATCCCGGGGGACCTCTCAGACCAGGTCTTGACACACCTAAGCAAAGAGAAAAAATACAAAAAAAAAAAAAAATTGAAGACCTGGAACTTCAAAGCAAAGTAAGCAAGCACTTAGTAGGATGAGTCTAAAACAAACAGATTACAGTATGCTGTCCCAGAGTTCACCCAGAAAATCTTTCTTATATTGTGATATATTAAATAATCACAATGAGAAAGTAAAAATGAAAAAAAAAAAAAAAAAAGATGTTCTTTAACCTCTCTCTAAATAGCTGGCACATCAAAACTTCTGGGTGACGACTTTTCGCCATTTAGAGATAAGCTTAAAGTCACCTGAAACAAAGATTTCACAAAGTTGATCAAGTGTAATAGACAGGATGAACAATGTATTTTTTGCGCTCCAGGATACACATACCTGGTCTACCAGCATCTCCAGGAGGACCCCTTGGCCCTGCAAAGGCAATGTATTTAGAATCTCCGTTAGACCACTGCATACTCCGCAAAATCACAATAATATTGATTGCAAACTTTGGGTTTCTGCATTTGAAGCTGTTTTTACCTTTCAAGAATTTGGCTTTTGTCTGAGTAGCCAACCATTTATGCAATTGTTGCACACAGACAATTCCCACTGAAACCCAGCAAGAGACAGACACGTGCAATAGGTATAGCATCCATCACATTAATTTAGGGTGGGGATGCCACTCAGTTACTTGAAAAGGACTTCAGGCTTGAACTCTTGCTTCGTTTTGGCCTCTATTCTACATTCTTGTTCTAATAAAGATACCACCTTTCTCTACAATCACAATCCCTTGGATATATGCATTCCAGTAGATTTACAGAAGCAAGGAGTGAAGGCAAGTGATCACTCACATACATAAATGTTCACAAAACTGGAACTTCAAAGAAAAGTAAGCAAGCATTTAGCAGGATGAGCATGAGACAAGCAGCTTACAACATGCTGCCTCAGAATTCAGTCCACAAACCTTTGTTACACTGTGAGATAGCCCAAATAATAAATTTTAATTTTACAGCATGGCCCAAAAATAAACAAAAACAAACTTGCAGATCTTTATTATTTTGGAAGGATAGGCAATAAAAATGGCATAAGAAACTGTGAAGGCTACAACAAATCTTAGTTTGACCTTTAACAAGAGATTACAGCCCTGATGATTAGTCTACAGCATACACAAATAATGTGCTGCCGTAGTATTCCACTAAAGTCATGAAGCAAGATGTAAATGAGCTTAGGTGCTCAATTCAATTACACGCACAGAAAAGTGTGCCAGCTCCATTACTTTTAATAGAAAATATGACGATAAATGAAAGTCTCCGGGTAAATTTCAGTTCTGCAATTTGATGGGAGTAATTTAGAAACCAACTTGGAAAGGCAGCAGCAGACTGCCAGGTGCTCACACTGTGAAAAAGCTAGCTTGCTACAAGCCCTTTGAGTAGACAAAGGGCTAAAAGATTGGAGTTTTCATGTATAACTCACCAGGCACACCACGTTGACCTTTTGGTCCTGGAGGTCCGGGGGGTCCTTCATCTCCTTTTTCACCAACCACTTCATCATAATACTCTGTCTTAATAGAAAGACGGTAAGAAAAGAACGAATAGTAAGAATGAAGAGAGAAGCATAGTGCCTCATACTGAGTATTTGTTTAGAACAACATTATGATTTCACTCATCAGTTTGATGTTGTGACAACATGAAGCCTCTCTAATCATACACTAATTGTTCACAAGCAGCCAGAAATGAAATTGCTATATGTGCGTAACACTACAGACCTGTACAAATAGATGGGGCTGAAACGTTCAGCTCAGTACCTCAACTCCCAGAGAACTCCTTTGTCTATGGGTGCAGTCATACAGGCCAGGTACGAGTTGAGGACCCAATCGTGAATATTAGTGTAGCATGAAATAAAAAAAAAAAAAACCTTGAAAGGAACCTGAAGGAGTAACTTAGTGTATTCCACTGCCTCCAGGCAGCATCAGCTGTACCTAAACCACTCTTAATTAATCATAAATGAAAATGGACAAAATCAACGACTTTAAGAGTATTAATGCTTATAGTAATGTGTTTTATATATGCATGTAATTAATTTATGGTAGCTTAACGTTATGTTCCAGAATTTCTATAAATAACAGGCATAATCAAAATGCAATTAGTTATAACTCTGCTATTTTATAATTACAAACTTCTTGCTCTTTTCTGCATTATTTTGCGTGGGCACCACTACAAAGATACACACGTCACACTGAAATTTAAATTAATGGACAAACAAAACATTAATTTTAAGAGGAATATAAACGTGATTAAAATTAAAATTCACAGTTCTTATTTTTGTTCTCTTCATTCTTAGAAAAGCAATGTTTTTGTACTACTCTGTCAATATCACAAATGATTCAGCTTTTTAAAAAAGTCACTTGTTAAGAATTTGGGCAGAAGGTTTCCATCGTGGCATGAGATGCCACGAGAGATGACAGAGAAATTTTACTCACAGCTCCTGTGTTCTTCTTTAAATGTCGTCTTGACATTTTAAAATTAACAGCACATTTGGAACTGATTAGAGTATTGTTTTAAAAATTAACTCCTGTGAATTTCTGTAACTGTTCTGTGACAGTTTAGTCTCCTGCTAAAATTGCTGTAACTGAGGTGAGGCTCTTATATTGCATTCAGGTACATATGAAGGGAAGTCACACCTCAGAGATCCCCATCAGTGTTGCTACTTTGAGAAAACCGTACCTTGATTATAGCATCATGTGGCATCCATTTTTGCCACATACAGTCAGGCTGGCTTATTTCTATTCTAAGGGTTAGAAAAACAAATTATACGATGAAGATAATTTACACTTACTCGACCACAAGCTCCAGGTGGACCAGTGTTTCCTTTCGTCCCCTTCATTTGAAAACAAAATGGGACTTTAAATTTATTTATTAAAAATATGCTCACGAGTACTCATTTGATACCCCCTGTTACTTCAGTACATTGGTCATAACGTGCAAGAAGGACCGCTACGCCTGATAAGTCCTTTACCACCATCTGCCTCTGTTGCTGACCCAACTATTCACCACATACTCAAGCCAGAAACTACAGGAACGCATCAGCAGGCATAGATAAATACCTACTCAGACATATCAACTATTTCAGCTGATCTGTTTCCTGTTCAATGATATCATTAGCCGTCAGCTTTTAAGTAAAGTAAAACATACTATATATGCAGTGATAAACAAGGCAATATGATAACCACAAAACATACCCTGCATTCATCGTTACAAGCAATGACAAAACCATTAGACAATACCTTAGCTCCTTGTTTGCCAGCCAACCCTGGTTTGCCCTGTTGACCCTTCTGTCCCTGCAGGTGACAGAATTATTAGGAGGGTTAATCTTTTACCACTGTCATCAATAGGATTCAAAACTGAAAGCTTTAATGGTGACGGCAAGATGAATGTGATATGCTCAGGGGAGAAATCTGTGAGAAGTTCCTTATAGAGATCCACTCACATGACTCAGTTTGGGATAAAGTTCCATATCTGTGCGAAACACTGCAGGGCTAACATCCAAGCCTGCCTTATCATGGCACGTTCCACCATTCCCAAGGTGGAAATGCTACGGATAGCACAAGCGTAGGCGGCTCTGGTTTGTTTTCCCTCTGAAAGCTACTGTTTCCAAAAGGGCAAAAACTGAACACAATCTGAAACTCTCACATTTAGCAATTCCCTCTCCTAGAACTTATGCAGTCTCAAAGATGATGGTGGATCTCTCTTGAGAGGTTTCAGCAAGCCAGGATGGAAAACAGTGTATATATGTGAGGAAAAGGGACTTTGGTTCCTCAAAGCCTTATGCAGATGAATGCATTGCTAGTTAGCAATGCAGAAATGGGCATGGAACACTGACTTGCCTTTGACATGACAGAACATTTGCTTTCTGTTAGCTGAGTATTAACACAGTAAAGTTTTCTGGTCTGTCATCCCACATTCTTTGTCGGACTGGAATGTGTTTAGACTGGGCACTGAGGTTGTTTTTACACAATGAAGAGGATGTTTCAGTAAGACATGTGAAATTGGGCTATACTGACAATAAGAGTTTTGATAACATATTTGTAAGGTCACTGTGACCCTAAATATATTGTTAAAGTGGAAGTGAGGTAAATATAAAAGAATTGATATTTAACTAATGGAATGAGGTATTTCAAATATATTTGGACAACTTTAGCTTTTAAATTAGAATATTTAAAGAATCATATTTTGGCACTTTCTCTAAGATGACAATTTTAATATCTATCAGTCATCTTGGTTCAGGCCAGAAAGGCTGTGAGCATGACAATAACTTCTTTTGTGAGAGAAGTCTTTGAGGCTAGCAATTAAAAACTATCCATTTTGCTTCTTGATTTCTGCTGAAGTGCAGGTATGACTCTTGCAAAAATTTCAGTGTGACTGATGTGACTGACCAGAGTTAAACTCAGCAAAGTTAATTTTTTATAACTTAGTCTCAAACTCATCTGACAGTCAGTAGTAAGCAGTTGGTCTCTTGTTTAAAAAGAGGAGACAAGATTTATGTACTGAGCCTTTCTCTTCTACGTAAACCTGTGGGACACGTCGTCCCAAGGCCAGTTGTATGAAAGGGAATGTTTCACAGGGTACGCACATCGACATTTCCAAATCCATACTGCAATGGGAAAAAGCTGTAACAAGTACGACCCTGATAAACATATTGTTATTTAAATATATGCTACTTAGAAAACATTTAGAAGGCTTCCTTCATTACCGGTAAGCCAGGTGGACCTGGGGCACCTTCTTTTCCAGGTTTACCCTACCAAAAACAAAAAGAAATAGTCAAAAGAAATGTCACTGCATTCTAAGAGCGGAATGACTAAATGACGTGCACCTAACTGTATTTCATGTCTTTATGAATTCAGAAAAGCAATTTAGGTTATTTTTAAAATGCTCATTATTTCTAATCAGAACCACTGTTCAACAGAACTTTACAAAACAGAGAGTAAGACATTCCTTGGACTGAAAAGTTAACAATGCGTGAACCCTCCTCCTATGAAGGATTAGTGCAGGCAGACACTTCATCAGCACAAAGTTTCAGAGAAATGCAGAAAGCTCAGTTAAAAAAAAGAAATCAGATCTCCGCAAAAGCAAGACAGACTATGATGAAACAACATAGCAGCCAGCAGGCCCCACAAAGGTGAGCATGGAAAGACACTGACAGAAAAAAAGTACAAAAAAATTAAAGGAAATGGGGTTAAGAGATGCCTTGAAGAGAAATTACTTAATGAAAAATGATAGCAAGTGCACTTTAAACAGAGTGGAAGTAGAACAGTGAATGGAAAAGTGAGAATGGAAAGAGATAGCATGCCAGAGGTGTCTGCTGCTTTCTGTGGCATACAGCACCTCAGAGAGCCTCCTGCTGGGGTCCTGGCCTCTAGTGCGGCTACACTACATGTTAAATAATTCATAACAACAACAACAGAAGACAACGGTAAGGGAAGGGAGAGGAGGGAGAAAAATGGGGGAAAAATAGTAAGAAATGAGAACAATTTTGGGTAAGGGTATCTGATTTGGCACCTTAAAGATGGAAATGTAGAAAACTTGGTTTGTTAAAATGCATATTAGGAAGGTAGTGACAAGATAAAAAGAGGGTGAAAGATTAGGAGGTCAGAACAACAGAGAAGAAAGTACACTTCAAAAGTTTCTTTTGCACAGAATACATCAAGGAAAGAGTTGAAATAATTTTGAAAGGGCTGGCCAGACCATGAGTTAAAATGTAAACTTTGGAAGAAGCAGCAATACTCAAAAGACGGCAGAACCTAGCAAAAGGTAAGAGAAGTGGCAGAGCTGGCAAAAATAATGCTGTCACAACTAACAGATGCATCTCAGACTCAACAGCACAACATACTCTTATTTTCTAACACCTAAAATGTACAATCATTTGATATTTTGTATTCACTTACATACTTAAAATACAAAAGGAAACATTTTGTTTTAATTTCAGAACAACCAGTCAGGATGTGTTAATACCATGTGTATTTCCTTACATTTTTCAGCGCCAACAGGCAGGAGAGCAAGGGTACTCCACTACTTCCACTTCAGACAAGGAAGTGAGAGGTCTATTAAGAAACATTCTAAAAAATATTGCCTGACAGGACAGGGCTTTTGCAAACAGATAACATGATACAGAAGCACAGAAGAGGGAGGAGGAATAATGCACACTGGATAACAACAACTTGTAGTGCTTTACACCAGTAACTCAAATAGAAATGTAGTTTTTCATAACCTACAGTAGTAATAAAAAATAACAAGTGAGCATCTGCATTTTTTTTTCAGTTGTAATAATGCTATCTAAACACAGTACTCGCCCTGTCTTGCTACCCTTTCTTGTGTAAATAAATTTATTGCAATTGCAAGAAGTACAGGAAAAGTTAATAAATAATATACATGTTCAGGTTGAATCAAATGTTTAATTTTAAAATTATTCTTCTTAATATTGCTTTTAAAAATGTATAAACCTGTATTTGGAATTGAGGAATCAAAATGTTGGATTAGAAAATGTCACAAAACATTTTCATTTATTTAGATATTTTAGGGTTGTCCCCTGACTACATATTAGATAAACTGATATGAATTCACATCAGGTTTAGTCAATAAGAATCTGCATCTTTTGCTCAGAAGTTTTTATCCAAAAATTTCAAAGCCACTTTCTTTTCAAAATGTAGATATTCTCAAGTAAATTATTTTTAAAAGTATATGTAATAAAATACAAACATATGAATTTTCTAATGCTGCCAGTAAAACAGTGTAAAATACTGTCCTATTAACAGAATGACTCTTATGATAACTTCCTTCAGATCTTCCCAAACCTGCTGGTTGAGCATATTCATGCAAGTCTGCCACCTCAATTAAAACAAATGTTTTTATTCTCTTTTACTCAAATACTGGCACTACAAAGCTAGTATGTGGCCAAAGAGTACATTTTTGACAAAATTTTAACAGCAGAACCCTTACAACAAAACAAATGGAAGTGCATTCACCACCAACCGATCTTTACCTCATGTACTCACGGTACATGAACCTCTAAGAACAGTCATTTGACTTTCAGATCTCAAGTTCGGTCTACCAGACACAAGAGCTTTTGAACCACAGAAAATCTGCTCTGAATGGCGTTGAAATAAAAGCTGGAGAGCAACACCAGTGCAACGATGCTTTTCAGGGAAGACTAGTATATCAATATGTTCAGTTGTTTGCACGCACCTGTGCTCCAGGTTCTCCTTGGTCACCCTTTTCACTCCGAGAATCACCAACTGGTCCCTGTAACAAAGATCCCCCCAAAACGCACATATTTTGAGACTCTAAATTAAATAAGTCTTTTAGCACTTTGTTATCTTCAGAAGTTATAAAAATGAAGTCCAATTAAACTGTTACTAATAGCTATTCATTAAAGGTCAGAATAAGCAATGTAAATAGTGGATTCTAAAGAGTACCATTTACTAGGTGATGCTGCCTGAATGTCTGGATTTTAGGGATTTACTTCAGGTCACTTACTGCAAACCCCACTGGTCCTGGAAGTCCTCTTGATCCTTTTTCTCCTTTCTCTCCTTTCAAGTCCTATCACAAGGAAAGTCAAAATTCAATATGGTGTATTGCATTTTTCTGTGCTTACCAAAACACAGAATTTTTACAAATAGGAAGACCTTATATTACCAACAAGTTTATGTAAGCAGAGATGCTTCTACTTAAATGACTAAGAGACAGGAACTGCATATGAGTGCTTAGTCCATGTTGTCTGAATCAGAAACTGGCTCTGCACTTATTTCTAAACATAGAGACTTCAAAAGGACGCACCTGTGGTTGTACACAAAAGCCTAGTAGTAAATATCCACAGGACTGGCAACAAATACCACTTGAAAAACAAATAAATCTTAGGTGCTCACTGGAGCTACAGTTTTCTCCAATGTGTAAATGTCAGTGACTACCCACATGATCCACACCTCTGTCGGCTCAAGATTAGGTTGCCATATTTTGTAGTACTATTATGTAGTGGGACACATGCTAAGCTCATTGTAAAACCAAACTTTATCCACTACCTACCTATTACCTGGCTGGACTTATGCCCCAAACTATACAAGTGAGGAATTCTGAGGGGTTTTTTTTGGTTTTTTTTTAAACCTACAGTGCTCTATGCCTCTGAAAAATTGCCATTCTCCCTTAATACACTGCCACAGCTGTGGCTAGAAAGTGCTCCAGGTGGTCAGCACTTGATTTAAACAGGAAAGAGCTACTCTCCCTTAAAGCTGAACCTTGCTTACTCCTGTAATCTTTCTCTCTCCTCTACACTTCTGTCCTAATGTAGAATTCACTTTTTCTTTTAGCTCGTAACAGAGAAGAAGGGTTGATAACTTCATGAAAATTAGATCAGGAAAAATGAAACAAAAATCGGGGAGAAGAACTGCTCAGTAAATATGTGAAGACTTAAAACAGCAGTAGCTGATATACAGTTTTAAGTTCTTTGAAAGGGCAAAATAGAAAATTTTTGATTAACAAAGCAATATTTAAAACAAAAGTTGAATCAGAGTATTTCTTTTCTCAAATACTTATTGTTTTTCCAATGCTTTCCATGAGTACCCATGCTCTACTAAAAAGAATGAGAAAATAAATGATTAAACGTATACAAGTATGTTGCAAGCTTTTCTGAAATGGATTTAGAGCTGAGAGTCTTAACACTTCCAGTGACAAGACCCTGAGGTCAACACAGCTGTGGCTTTGATGGCTATTCAAAAAATCCTTGTTGATTTGGTCAAGCTAAAAGTGATTTACTTTTCAGGTACTCAGAGTTTCCACAACAGATGGCTTACTAATAAGCATTTAACATCCCACTGGCATCATGCAGATGTGCATATGAATACATAGGACTCAGCTGAGCTGGCTGCACAGACATGCTCTATGAAGAGCTCACTGTCTAAATAAACAAATCAGGAAGAAAGTTAGAATGGATGAAAGGAAATGGTATCAGAACAGTGAAGATGAAGCTGTCTTCTCTCAAAGTAAAAAACAATAAGATGGCTTATCTGTATCTGATCTTAGACAAATTTTACTACCGTCATGTTGTTTGGTCCACTTAAGGTCACGATAACGGTTCCTGGTGGTCCAGGAGGTCCAGTTAATCCAATATCACCCTGAAAACAAAAATAAAAATGGAGCAATTGCACATAATATATTGTTCTTGTTTCAAATTACTATCCCTATTTTTTCAAATTTGTGAACATTTCTCTGTCATTACGCTTAGCCATTAATGAACTCAACATTTCTCTTTGTTTGTTATTTATCTTCCATAAAAAGGCATAGGGAGGACTTAAGGCTTCTATGACAATCTCTTTCTGGGTGAGAAATTAAAAAATGCCTATACTGATTTATGCTCAAGTATCTAGAATTAGCTTAAAGAGAAAGTATTTTTAATATTACTTACTTAAAAGTTTATAAGAACATTTTATCTCCAAATCACCTAAAAATATCCCCTTATAATTATTGTAGTTTTTCTCCTAGTCTGAGTAAGTCAGTCAATAAAATACATGCAGTGTCTTCAGTGACACCCGCAAAACTGCAGTCTGTATACTGTAAGTAGATGATTGTAATGTATTACTGACAGATACAATTGGCTTTCATGTGATTCTGACCTAAAACATCAAAATTATAGTATACTTTTCCATTAAAGATCTTTCAGAACAGGAAAAGGCCTAAATGTGATCTTTCTGTGGAGCTCAAAGGTTATCCATAGTTTTAAGGGATTTTAAGTGTGCACTTGAAACTTAACTGCAAAGAAAGCAGCACTCCATAAGGAAGCAAGACACTTCACAGCCAACATCAAGGGAGCTACTATTCACTCGATGTCATCAATTCTATTTACAGAAATTTTGCCAAGAAAATTCTTCCTGGTAATAATTACAAAATCAAAATTAATCTCACTTTCAGATAACGCTGTTTCAGCCTGCAGTTGAATCTGTGCAGGTCAATTAGCATAACTTTGTGATACCCCAAGTACTCAAAGGGATCCTGCAGGGACATTAAAACTGACTACGGATACAATTGCAGGATCAGGTCCTAGGAGACAATAGATTTGTTGATATACATTTCTATCTTAATGTAAGTTATGTTTGACACAAAGTAAGAATATGAAAGACAAATCATCTGACTTTTTGTTCAAAACCTGGAAGGTTCTCTTAGAAAGACTTTCTTGAGCTTTTCTAGCAATAAGAGGGCAGACACGGAGAAGATGTTCACCGTAAGAAGTTGTGAGTCTACAGATGCTATATATTTATCAATGTTTACCTGCTTGGATAAGCATTTACGAATGCTGTGTGCTAACGTTATACAAATTAATTTAATGAGATGTGTTAGTAAATATTAACTGCTGGCTCCTCTTAAACTATCAGCCTGTTTCTACTTTTCTATCAGGAAGTTTATATCATCAGTTCTTATGTGAAAACAGTTTGTCCTTAGATATTAATTGTCATGTTCCTATCTTCCAATAGGAGACTTTCATGTATCTACTGAAAATTCTTTTATTTCACAGTACTTACTTCTCCAAACATGCCACCATAATATATTAGAAAAAGCAGAAAATGGCAACAAAACTTTAAAAATGTTTTAAGTATTTTATACAATTACCTTTCTTCCTTTGTTTCCAATTACTTTCATTCCCATGAGACCCTGTGAAAGAGACCCAAATGTTAGTGTTTTTTATTTAAAAAAATACTCATAAAATGTGTGAACAGATGTTACAGTAAATAGGAACTTTTCATTTTTATTACCAATCTGAGACTACCTTAGGTCCTGGAGGTCCTGCTCTCCCTGGCACTCCCTACAGAAAGAAAGATGCATAGTGTAAAACACTACAATCTTCAGCACCAATTTAGGCCAGTTAATTAGGCCAGGGCATTTCCGCTGACTACCAGGTTCTACATAGGAGGTTCCAAGTACACGGTTTTCACCTCTGTTATATCACACTTTTATTCATTCTTCCACCTTTACAGCTGCAATTTGTTGTGAAAGCAAAGGACAGTCGAATGTTTACACGATCTTGTTTGCAAACAGATATATCTCTCTTGCACTTCTACACATTAGTATGTCATGTGAATTTATAAGCAATTATTTGAAAATGAAAATTTATTCCTAAATGGATGAGAATACTTTTGAAAATGTGGAAATTATCAAGCATAAAAATAATCAAAAGAAATTGGAGAAAAAAAATATAGATGTGTGCGTAAAGGCATGGATTTCACATACCCACAAGTTCATACTCACTGAAACTCCCGGAGGGCCCTGTGGTCCAATTTCCCCAGGATATCCTTGAATACCCTGGGAACCCTGTATATTTAAAAAGAAAAAGGAATAAACGCCATGGCAAGATTATGAACAATTCATAATGCTAAATTCAGTGAACTGAATAATAACCAGAGAAGCAGCACTATCCTTGGATTTCCTTTTCATGTCTCAGGATAATATAGAAGTATAATTCCTCCTCATTGCATCGTTGGTTGGTATATTATTTGAAATATGAAAATACCTATCTGTTCTAAAACTAAATTACTTAAATGGGAGTATAAGTCCTATTTAATGCAACTATGGACGCTCTCATTATCCACATAATGCTACTGTTAACCCTATTAAGCCCTTATTTTCTAGGATATTCTATGCAATAAATTCTACACTTTAAAACTTGGAGAACTAAAAATGTCCATTTTCAACTTAATGCAGGTTCTCCATTTATTGTAAGGGTTAAAAGAAATGTCTGCTCTGCCTTCTTCTATGTTCTGTACATATGGATCATAGTGTCTTGTACTAATGCTTCCCTAGAAGCTGAGCTGAACTAATCTTTTCAGTCTTACCTCATGTGGAATTTCTCTCCATTTCTAAAATATTTTTGTTTGTCTCTATCTCTTGTGTATTTGTTTTGAGATTGGGTGATCAGAGCTGAGTACAACAATCTACATGGAGGTATACCAGACTATCATGAGAACATTTGAATTTGGCATTTTTTTCCAACACTTTTCTTTAAGTATCCTAGTATTTTCTTTGCTTTATGTCATCTCCTGCCCACTGACTAAGATGTCTTTATTAAACTGCTCCCATTGATGCCCAGATGTTTTTCCGGAGTAGGAAGTCAGTAACGTAAATAAGCTGATCAAATTATTCTTTCCAAAGTATATTAGCATGTATTCATGAAAAATAATTTCATCTCCCATAGCTAGCTGCACATCTACCTGGCTTAACTGCATGACTTTACGGTATCCTAGAATTTTCAGTCGTTTCAGTTACTTTAAATATTGTATATGATTTCTCAGGTTGTCTGCCACCTGATTTTCCCATCCCACTTTACTAACACATGATGGAGACTACTGTTTCTGACGGCAAAACTAATTACTACTGATTTAGTGTACTCTAAGTGTTGAAAAGTCAGAAGAAATTTTTTGTATATATTTTATTATATTAGCCAGATTATATAAAGTCAATAGTATTTAGAGACACAGAGTTATTTTCTGGTTTAGAAATTAATGACGCATATTTGTAAAATTATATATACACACACATACACATATCAACGAACATATCTCACTATCTTAACTCTGAATTACCTGAAGTCCAGGCACTCCTGGCAATCCAGGGTCTCCTTTTGCACCATAGCCTTGGTTATATCCATCTGCTGGGCACCCCTGGACAATTAGGAAGAAAAGCACAATAAGGTTATGCTGTAGAACTCTTTAGTGGAATTTAAGACTTCAATTCTTCTAATACAGTATATGGGGGGACAGGGGGAGCAGTATCGGAATTCCATAACAATGGCAACTACCCAAAATGGATAGTTCTACTTTTAAAAAAGGTTTTATTAAATAGAATGTACCATTTTCAGGCATATCACTCCTTTATGTTAGGAGTAGTCTTCATTTCAGCCATACATACTTCTCTCACCCACAGTCCTGACCTTCTTAAAATTTTCTCATATTTTTTTCTTTTAAAACACTCTGTAGTGCATCTGTAGATTTCCAGGCAAATTCTCAAGCTGCTTTGGAGAGGGGCTTAGTTCTTTGTGTGTTTGAAAGGAATAAAATTATGAAACGCAATAACAGTAGCTAAAGGAAAAAGAAATGCTGTGTTGTACTGGGGTGAACGTGACTAGTATAGACCAGGCACCAGAGTTTGTGGATCCTTCTTCTGGAAAGTAAACTTTTTATTTCCCATGTGTATATTTGCTTTTCCAGCAGCAAATATACACAAAGAATTTTGTTCACCACTAAATATTTCATATACTAGGTTGTAAAAACTGACCTTCTCTCCTTTGACACCAGGGATACCCTAGAAAGAACAACAACAATCATATCACAAAAACAGAAAGACAAGAGAGACAACGGTGAAAGGATACATTCAAGACATTCTCTAAGTGCAACGATCTCGGTGTATAGCCACATTTAGGTTTGCTGTGCCAGACTACAATTTCAGAAGAAAGGGCATATTGTCAAAAAGTAGCCCAGTCTCACAGTCACAATATTACAGGTGAATGCAGTTTTAAAGCTTGATCAAAAAAAAAAAAAAAAACCAAAAAAACCACCACAGGATTGCTGGTAGAATATTAAAGATCATGTTTAGAAAGTATCAGATTTGAAGCCAATGGAACTTGATAGGCAGCATCCCTTTTTCCATTTGCTGTTTAGAAGAATTTTGTATGTATGTATGTATGTGTACATACATATATGTACACATACAGACAGAGAAAAAACAAAACCTGGAGTTAAAGCAATGGAGACATAACCAGAAGATCTGGCTTTGGTTCCTGGTTCTGTTATTGACTTCATTAGGCAATATCCTCAAAGATATTTAGGCATTAACTGAAACTGGCATCTATTAAATACATATTGGACACCTTTTGAAATTTGGGTAGTAAATCTTCATGAATATCTCTTGAGACTGCAGTTTTGAATACCCAGCTTGAGACACTAAAGAGCTAACAGCAGTTGATGAATTTGCATGCACTCATCGCCTAAGAAGTCAAGGCCCAACATGCAACAGATTAGACATCACTTTTAACCTTTATTTCTTATCTCCACAAGTTTTTATATTAATAAAACAGGATAACTATATTTTCCAACCCATAAGTAAGTGCTGTTAAGACCAGTTAATTCGAGGCTTTATGCTCTTTCGGTGAATGGCCGCATCTGGTAGAAATGCGCACAATCATGAACTTCACAGACACCTACTGGAACACCTGGAGCACCTCTTCTACCTGGAGGACCCGGAAAACCTCGATCGCCCTGGAAGTAGTAAGGGTGACTGTTAATGTATATTATTATTTGGATACTGATTTCAGTAGGTGTGATTACAAAAGACATTTCATGTTATTATGCTAAAATTATAAATTGCACTACCACTAGATTTGCTAAGTGGGTCACAGCCTGACTGTGCATGTCTTGACCTCTTGCCCAGTGACCAGACTTTATTGGCTATGCCAAACCACTGTTTCACCAGAAAAGTACGATTCTCTGTAAAGGGCTTTCTTCTGACTTCCACTTTCAGAATGC